GTGTAATGGTTTCAATGATTTTAATTTATAGTTAGTATTTAGTTTTTGTGATTTATTTTATTGTATGTATGTATGTATGTATGTATGTATGTATGTTTACATGGAATTTTTGCCATTAATACATTGTAAACTGCCTTGAGTCCCCCCAGGGCTGAGAATATATATTAATAAATATTTTTATTGTACAACTGACATCACAAGACTGACAGACCTGACAAACAACAAATAACAATTAACATCTACAACATTTACATACCGACCATCATATGACAATAACATACTAATGTAACATCTAATATAACATTTACCCTCTAAGTTCCAGGTACCTCAAATGAACATTAGTCTTCTTTCTTTTACAATTTTGTGTTAAAATAAAGGTTATACACTAACCAACCCTGTCTTTGGCCGGAGGGCCCTTATTTTATTCCTGTATTGGCATAATTTTTTATTTGTTTCTTTCTAGGTAATTTGTAAATTTCTTCCATTTCGTCTTGTTGGATATTGATCTATTTTGGGATACTTTCTGGGTTAGCAGATCCATGTTCATTATGTCCATAGTTTTCTCAATCCAGGAGTTGATCGTTGGCGTCTCCTTACTTTTCCATTGACGCGCTATACAGATTCTTGCTGCAATGGAATTTTTGCCATTAATACATTGTAAACTGCCTTGAGTCCCCCCAGGGTTGAGAAAGGTGGTATATAAATATATTAAATAAATAAATAAAATCTAGATTTCTAATTGCACCCTTTACACTTGTCTAACCCTGGACATTCCACAGGTATATATACTAGGGCTGGCTAGGTTCATTTGGAAAAGCCCAAAATTTGGAAAAAAACATATGAATTTGGACATCCAATGCAGTTTTAAACCATGCAGGAAAGGTGTGTGTGTGTGTGTGTGTGGGTGTCCGAATTTGAACCACTTTTTTTGGGGGGGGGGGATATTCTATAATGTTCAGATGTCTCCCAAGGTTATTTTAATTTTCACAAATTTTGTAAAAGCAAGGGAATTTTTAAAATCTCATGCCTTCCGCTGGTGATGCAAGGAAGGAAGCAGTGGGTGTGGCTAATCACAGCCATCTTTAACTGTAGTTTGTGAAGGCCAGCCCCTCAATGGTAGAGATTGCAAAAGGCCCTGCTGTTAAGCTACATTTCCCACAATGCTTACCAGGCTAAAGGACCCAAAAATAGCTGTCTGTAGCAGTCTTTGTCTAAATATAAAATAAACAGATTGAACCCTCAAAGGTGTCTAAAGAAGGGAGCAAAGCAATAAACAACTTTTGCAAAGCAAAGAAACACAAACTGCTTAAAAACCAATCATTTTTCTTTTTGCCTCATTGCCATGAACTGGGGTAGCCAGCCACAGCCAGCCAGCCAGTCCTTTACAGTCTGTAAGTAATGATAAAATCAAATGATTGATTGCATCTGCAAAAAGGTATCAACAGATGGATGTGCCTTGAAGGTTCCCTCAAACTCAGTAGAGGAAGCAAATGGATGTCAGGAGAGTTTGGATGGTGTCTTTCTGCCCAGAAGGGGGTCAGTCTAGATGTCGCTTGATGGGGTCTATATTATGATTTCTGTTCTCCACCAATTTAACACAGTTTGTGCCACACATACAAAGTTTCTGTTCAATCCAGGAACAAATTTTCTTTATTATTATTAAAAATGTTTTTTGTAAAAATTTTGAAAATTTGCTAAAAATCCATGGATAAATCAATTGTTATGAAATTTGGTGAGCTAACAGTGGACCATGTGCTCCACAACTGTAGCCAGTTTCATCAGGATTGGTTTAAAAATGAGGGAGGGAGAATCCCTTGAAGTTCTCTAGTGCCAGTGCTGGTTTTTTTCCTACTGTGCATGCATGTCCACATTAACAAATCAATTCGGATGTTTTGGAAGTTTCGGAAAGTTTTCAAAAATTTGGAAAAATCTGGAAATGACTTTAGAATCAAACCACCAGCGCCCTCTACATTCAAAACAAGTTTTGTACCATTTTTTAAAATCAACCAAGCCTACTATATACTCCACTTGCTTGACTATCACCAGATTCTCTGAAAATGCCAGCCACAGATGCAAGTAAAGCATCAGGAGAAAATGCTGCTAGAACAGGGGCATATAGCCTGGAAACCAAACAATAGCTCTGTTTTTGTGTGTGAGTGTGTTAGGAATGACTTGAGAAACTGCAAGTCACTACTTATGTGAGAGAATTAGCTATCTGTAAGGATATTGCTAACGGGGCGCCTGCATGTTTGATGTTTTGCTATCCTTGTGGGAGGCTTCTCTCAAGTCCCTGCATAGGAAGCTGGAGCTCAGAGAGGGAGCTCATCTGCATTCTCTTCGGATTTGAACCTCTAACCTGTTCTGCTAGCACGAGGATTTAACCCAGTGTGCCACAGGGGCTACAACACCCAGTGATTTAGCCTGTGAAAGGCCTGCATGGGGAACAGTTTAAAACAGGCCTGGGCAAACTTGGGTCCTTGATGGCTCCTTTCTAAGGGTGCATCTGAACCATAGAATTAATGCAGTTTGGCAGCACTTTAACGGTCATGATTCAGTGCTATGGAATATTATGTGTTATGATTTAAATCTTTCTCTGTCAAAAAGCGCTGTTTTCTCATAGAATCATAGAGTTGGAAGGGATATTATAGACCCCTGTTTATGTAGGATTCTGGCACTCTTCCTCCACCATGGAGAATCATAGTGTTGGAAGAGACCACCAAAGCACTCTCAACAGGTGGCCAATTGGCCTCATATCATGGAATCATGGAATCAGAGCTGGAAGAGCCATCCAGTCCAACCCCTTGCCAAGAAGCAGGACAATTGTGTTCAAGCCTCTGTTTAAAAGCCTTCAAAGAAGGAACCTCCACCACACTCCGAGTCAGAGAGTTCCTAATGTTCTGGTGGAATCTCCTTTCCTGTAGTTTGAAGCCATTGTTCCGAGTCCTAGTCTCCAAGGCAGCAGAAAACAAGCCTGCTCCCTCCTCCCTATGACTTCCCCTCACATATTTATCCATGGCCCTCATCATGTCTCCTCTCAGCCTTCTCTTCGGAAGGCTAAACATGCCCAGCTCTTTAAGCTGCTCCTCATATTATCTGGTAAATGAATGTATTGGCTGATGTGTTTGATGTTTTAAGATGATTTACTGTTTTACTGTTTTATTGTATTCTTTGATGTATACGTTGTAAACATTGTTGATGTCTATGTGAGGCCGCTCTGAGTCCCCTTGTGGGGAGAAGGGCAGGATAGAAATGTATGAAATAAATAAATAAACAAATCATAGGGCTTGTTCTCCAGACCCTTGATCATTTTAGTCGCCCTTCTCTGAACACATTCGAGCTTGTCAACATTTCCCTTAAACTTTTATTTATTTGTCGTGTCAGAGCAAGCAGTCAATTATATTACATTTCTAACAGAACAAAGCAAACAAACAGACAAAATACAAAAATTGTGAGTTTGGTAGTTGATTAAATGTCCTTTGACCAGTATCTGGCCACTTGGAGTGCTTCTGGTGTTGCTGCAAGAAGGTCCTCCATTGTGCATGTGGCAGGGCTCAGGGTGCACTGCAGGAGGTGGTCAGTGGTTTGCTCCTCTCCACACTTGCATGTCGAGGATTCCACTTTGTAGCCCCATTTCTGAAGGTTGGCTCTGCATCTCGTGGTGCCAGAGTGCAGTCTGTTCAGCGCCTTCCAAGTCGCCCAGTCCTCTGTGTGCCCAGGGGGGAGTCTCTCATTTGGTATCAGCCATTGGTTGAGGTTCTGGGTTTGAGCCTGCCACTTTTGGACTCTTGCTTGCTGAAGTATTCCAGCGAGTGTCTCTGTAGATCTTAGAAAACTATTTCTAGATTTAATTCATTGACGTGTTGGCTGATACCCAAACAGGGGATGAGCTGGAGATGTCTCTGCCTTGGTCCTTTCACTATTGGCTGCTACTTCCTGTCAGGTGGTGCAATACTGGCTAAGCAGTGTAATTTCTCCAGTGGTGTAGGGCGCAGGCACCCCGTGATAATGCGGCATGTCTCATTAAGAGCCACATCCACTGTTTTAGTGTGGTGAGATGTGTTCCACACTGGGCATGCACACTCAGCAGCAGAGTAGCACAGCGCAAGGTCAGATGTCTTCACTGTATCTGGTTGTGATCCCCAGGTTGTGCCAGTCAGCTTTCGTATGATATTGTTTCTAGCACCCACTTTTTACTTGATGTTCAGGCAGTGCTTCTTGTAGGTACGAAGCACTTAAACTAAGATGCCCAGAATTGGATGCAGAGTGATTCCAGGTGTGGTCTGACCAAGGCAGAATAGAGGGTTAACATGATTTCCCTTGATCTAGACCAAGTATGAGCAAAGTTGGGCCCTCCGGGTGTTTTGGACTTCAACTCCCACCATTCCTAACAGGTCCTTTCCTAAGCGGCTGAGAGGGGAAAGGAAGGGGCCTGAGGCTGTTAGGAAATGAAAGAGTTGGAAGTGCAAAACACCTGGAGGGCCCAAGTTGGCCCAGGCCTGCTTTAAAGCCATTGTGAATGTGTTCCCATCCTTCAAGAATGTACCAGGCGAAAGGTTGGTGGCTTCGGAGCCAGTCTCATTGGGATCCGCGGAGTGTAAACGGAGGGATGGCTTGGCGTCGGGTGAGTTGCCACGCAGCGCGCAAGACCCAGGCACATCACCTCCTGCTCACCCGCCGGGCTCTATGAGCGAACAGAGGCGTCTTGGGACGGAGCAAGAACACACACACACAGAGAGAGAGACGCGCTCGCCTGCCTCCCTCACACCGAAGGGACAGAAGAGCCTCCCGGGGGAGGGAAGGGGCCAAGTCAAGCCTCTTCCTCTAGAGAGATGTGACATGCTTCGCTGGGCTGAATCGGGGTAGTCCACTCCACATCATGCTGGGAAGGTGAGCCAAGGGGTGCCCCCCTCCCACAGCACAAAAAAGGGGAGGAAAAAGAACACCCTCGTCTGCGGAAAACAACCCACGCGCCGGCTGGAAGGAAAGGAAAGGAAAGGAAAGGAAAGGGAGCGTGGAGTTGGATCCGCTTTGGGGGCGGAGACCGAGTTGCTCAAAAGGCCCGGGACGAAGGAGACCGGGGACTGAGGAGAGAGCTCCCAGCCTCCTCTTTTCCTCTCTTGGACCAGCCGCGCTTGCTTCCTTCCTTTGCCTTTCCTTCCCCTTTTTTTCCTTTCCCTTTCCCCATGGCTCTCCTGGTCCTTCTGGGGCTTCTCCTGCTGGTGCTTCTGGGGACTTGGCGCTTTTGGAGATACCGGTGAGTGGCAGGGATGGAGGGGCGAGGGGAGAGGCGTCTATCTACTACACCTGTCGAAGCGATGCCGTTTGGCACACAGTTCGACACAGGGCTGCCTGATACTGGGAGTTGTGGTTTGGGAGGCACTGTTGCTCTTGGGCAAAGAAGGCTGGAGACTCAATGAAGCCTCAACTCTCCTGATTCCATAGTGTGGAGTCTTGGCAGTTAAAGTGGAATCCGATTGCATTTATTCTACAGCAGGCATGGGCCAACTTGGGCCCTCCAAGTGTTTTGGACTCCAACTCCCACCATTCCCAACAGTCTCAGGCCCTTTCCTTTCCCCCCTCAGCCGCTTAAGCGAAAAGGAAGGGGCCTGAGACTGTTGGGAATGGTGGGAGTTGGAGTCCAAAACACTTGGAGGGCCGAAGGTGGTCCATGCCTGGTCTACAGTGTGGATGTGTTTCTGGTCACAAGCAAAGGAGAGCTGGCCTGCTTTTCTCTGAGGTTTCTCTGTTTAGTTTCTGAGGTCTATAGGTTGCTCAAAATGCTTGGGACCAGGAAGCGTTTTGGATTTGCTTTTCTGGATTTTGAAACACCCATATTTGCATGTACATAAATCATGAGATAGCCGCCCATTGAAACCCAAGTCTGAAAGAGAAAGACACCCATTTCTGTTTACTATATGCCTTGTATATTACCTGGAGGTAATCTGGTACAAGTTTTAGAAATAATTCTCCACAGGAAACAAGGCATGTGCACACAGCCATCAGAAAATGGTCCATGTACAGCAGTGGTTCCACCAATGGTCCACAAGAATGAAAATATGGTCTACGGCCTCACCATTACTACACCTTTCTCTCAAAACCACATGGCAATGAGACTTGTTGGTTTTGCGAAATCCTCTTATACTGCAGAGGCAATGGGGATGTTGGGAGGGGAGAGGCTGACTTTACCAGGCCAATTAGATTTGATGCAGATGACCTTCGGGGTGAGAAGGGTGGAATATAAATGTTTTAAATTAATAAATGACTGCCCATGAAATATTACTACTACCACATCAGCTCTAGATTATTAAATATGATTTTCTGTGGGCAAGCAGATGGCTACTACTGGATGGCATATGTTCTGTATCAGAAACTAGAGCTGATGTGGTCTATCCAAAGTATTTTTTCTGAATCAGGATCCCCAAATAACCAAACCAAATCTAAAGTTGACCAGAAACTGATTCACTGCCCTATTGGTACTAATGGTTACTGGTCAAGTGGTCCCTGGTCAAAGTGGTCCCTGGTCAAAGTGGTTCCTGGTCAACGTGGTCCCTGGTCAAGTGGACCCTGGTCAAAGCGGCCTCTGGTCAGAGTGGTCCCTAATCAAAGCAGTTGCTGGTCAAGTGATTCCTGGTCAAGTGGTTCCTGGTCAAAGTTGTCCCTAGTCAAAGTTGTCCCTGGTCAAGTGGTTCCTGGGCAAAAAATGGTTGGGAACCACTGTTGTGGATTATTTTGGTGTATTTAAACATTTCAGATAAGGGATGCTCAACTGTATTTAGGTTGTAAGCTGAATTGGATCTCATATTGAAAGTAAGTAAGTTGAGATACCAAATAATAAACAGCAAGGTATAGGAATCAAGTTGACCCTATGTTGTCAAAGTAGAAATCCCAGCAGCTGTTACTTGGTGTGGTGAGGGATGCTGGGAGTTGTAGTACAACAAGCTTTGGAAATGGTAGTGGTGGTCTTGTGGGCAAAGATATAAGGACAGCAAAAAGTTTGAATGGGAGAGAGGGTAGAAGAGGAATCAACAAAGGCTTAGGCAGCAAGCCAAAGGGGAAGATGGTGAGGTATGGGTACCTTTAGGAGAACACTGAGTATATGGATAATTCCCACACCAGATTTATATCGAGGCTCTTCATTTGCTATTAAGTATCCCAATTTTGCATGGGACAGACTCTTCCAAAATAAAGAGAGGAAAAAGGAAGGGGCCAGAGGCTGTTAGGACTTGTGGGAGTTGAAGGAGTTGAAGTCCAAAACACCTGGAGGACCCCAAGTTTGCCCATGCCTGATATAGCATCATTATATACACATACATAAAATGTGCCAAGGATTTTACCTTTGATGTGCTTTCCTATTATTTATGGACCCTCTAAGTTATTTTCAAATATTCACAATTTGGAAAATAACTTGTTCATGGGGAGGAAGATGTCTAGGGAGTCAATGGAATTTCCTTTCCTGGATATTATTCAGGAAGTTCTGGACAGACATACACCAGAGGAGGTTTTGATAAGGACATCTGTTTGTTATGTTACTGTGTAAAGTTGCATTGAGATAATTACACTATTTATTTGGTGTGTTTTCCCACTTCCTCTCCACAATATGAGTATTTTGGGCAATTTAGAAGAAAAGTATCAAGTAAATGTTTTGGATTTCAATTTTCCCCCAAATTTTTGAATACTTGCATTTGCATATACAGGCAAAACGAGATTTCTTGGAGATGGTAACCAAGTCTAAACAATAAATGAATAGGTTTCTTGTACACATAGCTTAAATGTAATTTCATACAATATTTGTAAGGATTTTGTGCAACAAACAAATTATATGTACAATTTAAACACTGGAAAAGAAAGGTGTCACAACCTCAGCCATCCATGTGGACTATTTTGGAGTACTTTTGGGTTTCAGAATTCCAGATAAGAGATGCTCAACCTGTATGTGTTACAGATAAAGTATATTCATTACAATAAAATAGCAGGATGTTCTAAACTCAAAGAATTGAATTACATATTAAAAGTTTGGTGGAATAGTACAGTTTAATCAATGCAGTTAGAACAATGCAGTCTATATCTAGATCAAAGCACCATGAAATTCAATGGGACTTTTTCCCATTTAATTTTTAGGCATGCTGTGTAAAGTTACAATCTGGTAGCTCATATGAAATTATGCTGTATTGAATTGAATGGGATTCTTGAAAGAAAAATTGTTACGATTGTTCTATAAAACAATATCATTCCAGTAGTTAAAAGATGGCAACAAAGGTTATATGCCATAAGGAAAACACATGGCAATGTGGATATTTTAGGTTTATTCCTTTGAAAAATAAATAGCTATAATCCCCTAAAAGTCAATGAGAGTTTTTGAAATACTAAAAAGAGTCCTACTTCATAGTAAGGCAACAGTTTCAAGTGTGTGTTTTACCTTGATGCTGAGCCAAGCTGTTATTGTTCTTTTCTGTTGTCAACCTGTGTTTTGATTGCTGCTCAGATGCTGTTGATATTTGTCCAATCCATTTCTGTCATTGTTCTGTTCCTGCAGCTTTGACCAGAGCAGAGTTTAAGAAAATTCATTTTTAAACTATAATTCCCAAATTTTTCATTGCTAACACAGATCACAGGAATTTAGGCATTATAGTCAGAAAAAGTAACATTTCCAAACTCTAGCCTTGGGAGCTACCAAGGAACATGATCAGTGTCAAACATGGTGATAGTTAGATCATAATTAGATTATAACCTCATTTTAACCAGAAACCAATTAGATTACTTGGCTCACTTTAGATAAGGCATGTGGGAAACTTAGGGACAGCATAGGAAATAAAGATCGAGTCAAAATTTCTTTCTCTTGTACATTTATCGAAGTAATGACACTGAGATGTAGAAAATCAAGGTACTTACTGCATAGTTAGTACACATTTGTGACATGATTTCTCTGTATATATATGGCTTGTTGTGGAAACAAGGATTGGTAGAAAGCATCAGTGGAGATACCTTTTCTCCATGATAACTTTTTTCAGGAGTGGATTTCTCTTCCTAGGGCTGGATTTCTCTCACTTCCTGTCGTGTCGAACTAGTTCTTAACCATGAGTTGTTTGTAAGTCAGATATTTGTAACCTGAGGACTTTTTGTATGTTTCACAGGGGCAATTAATCAATACTGTATTATTGGAGAAAAAAGTTGATAATTTCTCTCTATGCGGCATTTTCCAGACGTAAAATGTACAAATGTACACAACAAATCCAAAGATTCGCATTGGTTAAGTGGTATTAGGAAAAAAATAATAAACTCAGGAAATTTCCATTTTTATTTATTTTTGTTAGGAGTTACAGGGAAAAGGAAAATATTGTCACACATACAAAGTGACTTTATGCACATGCCAGAAATGCCTGTTACTTTTGGACTGTACAGAAATATTCCTGGCTTGGATGAATGCTAGTTGAATTGTGAAGTAATGCTATTCACATTCACTCCAAAATACATTCTTCCGTGTTCTATGCATTCTATGCATTAAAAATCTCTAGCAAGTGTGCTTAGAATTTCAGCCTTAAATACTGTAGGATTAGATTTAGTGATAGCAGTATTCAATTTGATTGCATTTGCGTTAACAATATCTGCTTTTATTACCAATGTGCAGAAAAGTTGATTATAAATTATATGGACTCAGTGCTATATACTAATTCCTCAGGAGGAGGAGGAGAACAACTATTGTAACCTTAAACAGCATGATACATGTCTAAGAGGAGTGTGTTGGCAGATGGAAATGAACACTGAAGTTTGCAAGAATGTTAAAACCTTTAGGGAAAAACCCCTGAAACCCCCCTTCAATAATACAATGTTTGCCAATTGAATTTGTTGACAAAGAGTTGTCAGCTGTGAGGAGCTGCGTAATTGTTGGGGCCAAGAATGTAAAACTGGGCGAAAAAAAGAACAGAATTGAGTAACCATGCAGAAGAATATGATTGGCTGGTTGGAAGAGTGTACAGATATCCTTCACTCTGCAATATTTGTTACTGGTCCCACTGGAAATCCCTTTTTTAAAAATAGTGGTGTCAGAATTGTCTGAATATCTTAATTATGGAAAACTGACACAACAGCATGTTATCTAGCCATTTATGGGATACAAATATGAGATGAGGGAGAGAAGAATATATTTTGGGAAACCCTGATGAAGAAAATCTGGGATGGACAAGAATATTCTGGGTGAAAAAAAAAATGGGAATTTTGCACAGAAAATAGCATTAATGCATAGAAATATTATTTGAGATATTTTCCTGCACAGACAACGCAATTTTTCTATTCAGAAAAACAACATTTATGTGCAAAAATACTATGTGCTTCAACAAAACTTGTAAATAGTCCTCAACAACCGCCAGTTACATAACCTGAAATATTTCAGATGAAAAACAGAAGACATGTGACCAGGCAACATCTCACCCTGCTTAGTTAATTGATTCCAAGTTTCTCTCTTCTCCTCAGCTTACCCCCTTTGTGCTCACTTTACTTTAGTGGCCCAAAACTGAGTTCAGATGGCAAAAGTGCAGCCCATGGTGAAGAGATGAGATGAGATGAAAAAATTTCACTAAGAATATCAGTTTACACCACAGAGGAGTTGGTTTAGATAAACAAGGAGGGAGAATACTTTTGGTCATTCAAACTATCTAAACCTGTTACTTACTACCAAGGCATTTTTGATTTTTCACTAATAATAGTTGCACATCTAACAATTCTTCTCAATGATGCCCGCAGTCATAGAGCTCTCTCATAGAGCTTCATAAAGGTATCTGAGCAAAGGCTTGGTAAAAGCAACTGCAGTCATATCTTACAGCCTGATAAATAATGGTTCATGTAAACATATAGAGGAGATCAAGACTGATCTCCTCTATCTGAAAGATCTTTAAGCATCCTTGGTTGTCTTCACATGTCTTTTTTTCAATCTGTATTCCTAGATAATATGTGATGTATCTTCATTGTTTCACTTATATTTTCTTACATACATATTCTATTATATCATCACGGTTTTGTCTTTCCCCACCATAAATGATCAGATCAACAACATAGGTCAAAATAAATGTCCACTTGTTGTCTTTGCATCTTGAGTACAGGCACCTATGAGCCATTCCTTGGGCCAACCCCTTCTCAAGGAACATTTTAATCAAGTTTTCAGTCTATTCTCTGGTGGCTTATTTTAATCTAAAATGTTCAGATCAGATATAGGTTATTTAAGTCTGGATGTTCCTCAATATAGCCTATTTAGCCAAAAAAGTGAATCTCAAAAACCTGGGTGGACCTATCCATGAGTCAGTATGAGTACTATATTTTAACTCTGATCAAAAAAAGAAGTGAATTGAGTGTCAAAGGGCAATAACTTAATGTATCTCAAGAGAACCTAAAAGAAACACTAACCCTATCTACTGTCTCCACCATGGTGTTGCTTTTGGATTTTTAAAATACCTGGGTGGGGAAATTGTGGCAGCAGCCAGAGGTGTTTGGCTCCCTGAGTCGACATTGGTGCATTCCCCTCTCCATGGGATGACCCTCAACTTATCCATGAGTCATATCCAAATCCATATGACAGACTGAGCAGCCAGGAACATAAGCTGCCTATTTACATTCATTTCCACTATGTCACTATTTGTCCCACTTGGAGGGTCAGTTTCTCATTTCATGTGATGTATAAGTATTAAGTAATTATTACAAACCCAGCTGAAAAGACCTACACAGTTTTGAAACCCCATGGAAAACAATAAACACCTTTTGCAATATTTTATTTTTAACTTCTCAGTTTCAAATTCACTGGAAGACTTTGGAGAAAAGACGTCACCATGTCTATCCATTTTTAGAATAAATCAGCCTGCAGCATGTGTAAACAAAGTGGTTGGCTGGCAATAAAATACTGTGTGGCCTGCTAGATTTTGATTAATGGAAATGCTGATTTCCATTGCTGTTAAGCTTTGTGGGTTTAACAAAAATCTATGACTTCAGAAATAGGAAAACACAGAATTAAGATTGGCTCACATTAAAATTGCCTCTTCAAGCTGAGAGGGAAAGCAACAGTTGACAGCCCAGATTTAGTCACTGATTATTCTTTACATAGGAGGACCTAACATTTGGCATTGGGGCAACTGTCATGCAGCAGCTGCTGGGTGCCACAGTAGATCTCTACAACCACAAATGTTCCTCCCGACATGCCAACAATTACCTACTGTAAGAGGAGAGAGCAATATAAGTACAGAGCCTGCAGTGCAGGACTATCAGCTACCAGTGTTGAAGGATAATTCAGTTGTCAGTTTTACCTCTGGGGCAAGAGGATTCCACTTTGTTATTTACCAAAGGGACAAGATTTAACCTGAACAATGATACTGATGCTATTAGAACATAATTAGAAGCTTTCCGGAATGTGGTTGTGGAGGTGGACGGGAATGAGGGCATAGCTCCTCAATAAGTATGCTACCCTCTCTGTGATATTTTCCTTTGGTCCCCAAATTTCAAGCATTTAAAGGACTGAAAGGCTGTCAGGAGATGCTTCCTTGGCACTTCGAGCATCAATGGGGCAGGGCCTGCCAAGCATCATGTGATGGCTCTTACCCCCAAAGTGCTGCAAAGGGACTCAATTTGCCCCAGTATGATGAAGTGCTGCCAAGTGTTAGTGGTCATTTTCAAGGCTCCTTGCTTTCGTTTTGTGTTTATCTTTAAACTGGACTTGAACTGGACAGTTGTTGAAACAGGGAACTTTCAAATTGAAGGGTTGTCTCCATAACCTAAGACACACGCTTTACCTATTAACAAGATATTTTGACTGTGTATTACCACCAGCAGTCTTTGATTTCATTATAATTGTAGTTATTTTCCTATTATTTTTGTTACATTGTTAAATTTGGGGCTATTTATGAAAGATTCTGAAAGTCTTAAACAACAATGTAGTGATTCATTTCTGTATCATTTGATACTGTTTCCAGGAGACCAGATGAACCTCCTCTTGATAGAGGTCTTATTCCTTGGCTTGGGCATGCTCTAGAATTTGGCAAAGATGCTGCAAAGTTCCTATCAGAAATGAAGAAGAAGCATGGTGATATTTTCACAGTGAGTATATGCTGCAATGTTCCTGGATGGATTTTCCAATAGCATTTGGGAAATTTGCTTTTTTGGATTATAATCCTCAAAAATCCCAAACTAGAATGGCACTTCCACCAAGTTCATGAGAGGATTCTGGGATCTGTAGTCCAAAAAGTGTCTTTCATTGCTGTGTCATCACAATTATAGAATACCTTCCCCTTGCAGACCTGATTGGTGTCAACTATGTATGCATTTTCAAGTGAAAATTTGGCTTTTCCTTTAGTTTGTGAAACCTAATTGTTTTTTGCTCTAATCCTAAAATGTACATAATTATGCATTTTTAAAATTATATTAACCTATTACAGTTGCTTTTTAAAAGCTAGTTAACTTGGTCATTTTTTAAACTTTTAAAACTATTTTTCATTCATCAGGTTGGTTTTTATTGTGCATCACCTTGAGATGTTTAGATGGAGGGCAGCATATTTTAATAAATCATAAATATTTTCATAAATGAATGAATGAATCATTCAAATAGGATGAATCTTCCAACAGCCAATTTGCTGACCGGAATAGCAGGAGAAAATGTCATTGGTGCCCCTGAACTCCTTTATGCATCACTTTCCCATACTCATCTCCTTCTGCCTGTGATTATCCTTGGATTTCATTACTTGTGTATAAGTGCACTTACATCTGCAGGAAAGAGACAAAAACAGTTTTGCTCCATCTATATTTAGCAAGAGGCTTCCATGACATTGACGTTACTATTTAGGGGAGCATGCAAAATTACCATTGTGAATTTGAACCAATGCACAAGAGGCACCAATGTGAATCAGGCATGAGCAATGCCCATCTGGCTAGGAATGCTCTCTCTGGTGCCTTTATACATATCTACACAATTCACTAAGAGAGTCCTGTAGCACCTCTGCTGTGTAGCTACTAGGTATTCATAAAAATACACAACATACATAATTATTTAAAATTGTAGCCCTTATTTATTATTATTATTATTTATTATTACCATATTTCTTTCATTTATATGCTGCCTCTCTGCCCAGAATGGGGACTGCTATGGCAAGCATAGTTCTTATTTTGCGTCCCAGTGGACAGGAGATGAGGGTTTACCAAGGGATCACTTGAAGGAACAGGATGGGACAAGGCTGAGCAGCTGCATCCTGAATTACAGCTTTAAAGCAGGCAGGTATGATCTCCAGATTGTGACCTGGCAACCTTCATTGTGAAAAGCTTTCCATCCAAGATGGCTCACAAGAATAGCTTCTGTGTCATCTTTCTTTGGCAGGTCACAAAGCAGCTGTGGCTCTTCAAAATAACATAGAGTTTCTATGTTTAGACAACTGTTTTCTGCAATCTCCTGTTGCTCATTCTTCTGAGAAAAATAAATCCATATCTCCTGTTATACGAAAAACTCCTTCAAATGACCCATTTGCATTATTTCTAGACAGTCTAGTATCAAAAATGTTGAGAAGACACATGATAACCATCTTTAAATATCTGATGATTGAGTGAACTTGTTTTCTGGTGCTCCAGATACCAGAATATCAACCAATAAATTCAAATTACAAAAAAGGGAAAGAAATTCCACTTAAAATTAGATTTTTTTTCATTCTAAAACACTTTGATAATGAAATAGACCTCCTTTAGAAGGTGGTAGACTCTCCTTCTTTGGAGGTCTTCAGATAGGAGCAGGATGGGCATTTTTAGGAGTGCTTTAGCAGTGTATTCCTGCATGGCACAGTGCTGGACTAGATGACCCTTTCCAACTTGTGACCCTTTCCAACTTTAAGGGCACATCTACACTGACCCATTATCCCAAAGTGGGGTGAATCAGCTTTGTGAGGGCTACACAATGTAGGGAGCTAATTTAGGTTAATGTAGGCCAAAAAAGACATTAACCCAGTGGGAGGTTGGAGTCCAAAAATGCTTTATCCACATTCTGTTAGTTGGATTTCTCAAAACTGAAGATACGTTTTAAATAAATAAAATTTCAAAGAAAATGGAAAGAGCAAGACCCTATAGAATGAGACCATTCTGAGTTGAACCCTAATCATTTTCCCTGTGGTTCGAATCTGGGGAGCGGTGTGAGCTCCCATTGTTAGCCCCAGCTTCTGCCAACCTAGCAGTTCGAAAACATGCAAATGTGAGTAGATCAATAGGTACCGCTCCGACGGGAAGGTAACATGCAGTCATGCTGGCCACATGACCTTGGGTGTCTATGGACAACAGCAGCTCTTTGGCTTAGAAATGGAGATAAGCACCAACCCCCAGAGTTGGACATGACTGGGCTTAATGTCAGGGGAAAAGTGTTACCTTTATTATCAGCCCTAGACGCTTTGTCTTTTTCAAACTAATATTTATCATTTGGTGACCTTGCCATATGCTAACATGATCTTAGCAGCATCACTTTGCATCCAAAGCCATATTTGTCCATAATTTTTCTCATTACTTTGTTGAGACATAAAAGTATCAGTCACGTGGATCTTTCCCACACTAGTGTAAGTCATAGTGTTATGGAGGCTTACATAATCTCTTCCTGAATGCATTTTGATGTCATCGTTATTCAACGCAGTCTTCCATTAACTGAATCATTTGCAACAAAATCATATTGGTTAATTTCAGAACCTGTTTGAGAATGAGTATAGCAATTAAGTCCTGAGTTATACCACACCAATTGTATTTTTTTAGTTCATAGTTCTCAGAAAAAAAAACCCTACCAATTCAAAATAGAAATAGAAAATGACTTGACTTAAGCACAACCTTTCTAAAGTCAGGATCAATTTAAAATTCATTGGCTTACATTTATTTAAATGATACATTTCTTTAATTTCTTTATTTTGTTTGTATTTCAGGTTCAAGCTGCAGGGAAATTTATCACCGTCTTATTAGATCCCCTCTCGTATGATGTGGTGCTCTGGGAATCTCGCTCCAAGTTGGACTTCAACCCATACGCACACGTTTTAATGGACCGAATGTTTGATGTCAGACTCCCAGATTATGACCTCAATGAAGAAAAGGCCATGTTAAGAATGTAAGTGTAGCTCTTAGATGGAAAATACTTGGCAATATGGGCTAACTATTTCAAGCAAAGGACACAATGAATCAATATCTTATTTTAATCATGACACTGTATGAAGAAATTAGATTAATATGTTTATCTACATCAGGGGTAATCATTTTGTGGCCCTTGGACAACACAGTGGTCCTTGTAGATGCCCCACAACAAAAAGGAGAGAATGCCTCTAGAACATGGCCATATAGCCCAAAAAAACCTACAACAACCCAAAAAGAAAATACTTTTATTGAAAGTTTTTGTGGTCCTAGAAACCACCAGGAACAGCCAAGTTTTAACACATGACAGTGGCCTTGGGTTCCTCCAAACTATGATGGAAACGACTTGAAGGTACATAACAAAGAGCATGTGCAAAAATAAGTCTATATTTTTATTAACTTATGCTTTAAAAATCTTTGGCATAGCTACAAGTTTCATTACATCCTTTAAAGCAGAGTGTGTTACAGGGGGAATGGGAAGAGAGAGCTATTGGAGAACATAATTAGACAGACCTTGACGTTTACGTTGGCACATGAAAGGGAAACAAAACTGCCACAGAGAAAGGCACATTTAGAGGGTGAGGGGACGATTATGACTGGAAGCACCAGAAAAATATATATCCAGGTCCAGCAGTACAGGGGTGGGCTGCAGAATATTTATGTGGTTCTTGGGACCCTTCCACACAGCCATATAACCCAGACTATGAAGGTGGAAAATCCCACAATATTTGCTTTCAACTGGGTTATCTGAATCCACAATGCCATATATTCCAGTTCAGAGCAAATCGTGTAGGATTTTATTCAGCTGTGTAGAAGGGTCCCCGGTAACAATTCTTGTATCAGTGACTAGTTGAAAGCTGCAAGAAAGAACAATTCCCATTGGGAGTAACTGTGGCTGACCTATTTCTCTGAGCCGGCAAAAATAGTTTAGAGCTGTGTAAGTAAAGAAGCAAGTTACCAGACAAACACAGCCAATATTCTGTGCAACTTGGCAAGAGATTCTGGGGTCACTCTTGGACGACGTGGTTCAGCTACTTGAGACAGCAAAAATTGTTTTCCAAGACTATTCAAACTGATAAACATTGACATAAGTGGCTGTTTATTCACATCCTCCGCATCTTTACAAATCCTGGAAAGGCTAGTTTAAGTAATTTGAAAGGACAGATAGATCTTTGGAAGGGCTGTAGTAGAGGGGGGAAGAGAGCACAAGACCCAAGGCTAGCAACTCCAGGTAGGAGAGATTCCTGTCAGAAACTTTAAAAGGCAGCTGCCAGTCAGTGTTGACAGAACTGGCCTGAGCAGACCAATATGACAGAGTAAAGCAGCGCTCTATCTTCTTCTTATCATCTGGTTTTAATAAGATAATTACCAAACTATAAAATATCCATATTATATTTTTTTGTGTTCCAGGCATGTCATGGGCAATCCAGTAAGACGAAGGTGGGAATATATGTTCCCCCCAATGTAGTTCTCATAGGCACCTATTTGTGTATGTGTGCCATCAAGTCATTTCCAAACTATTGTGACTTTAAGATTTGCTCAGAAGGTGTTTGTTATTGCCTTTTCCTGAGACTGGGAGAGAGTAACATGCTTAAGATCACCCAGTGGGTTTCAATGGCTGAGCGGTGATTTGAACCCTCATAGAGTTGAAAGAGACCACAAGCGCCATCCAGTCCAAGACTCTGCCCTGCACGAATACATAAGCAAAGCTGTTCTGGCAGGTGGCCTTACAACCTTTCCTTTAAAATCTTCAGTGAAGGAGACTCCTTCACACTCCTAAGCAGTGTATCCCACTGTCAAACAACTCTTATGATCAGGGGGTTCTTTCTAACCTTTAGCTGCAATCTTTCTTCCTGTTTGAATCTATTGCTCCATGTCCTAGTCTCTGGAGCAGCAGAAAGCAAACTGGCTCCATATTCAATATGACATCTTTTCAAATATTCAGATAAGGCTATCATATTTAAATATATGTCTCTTAACTTTCTTTTTTCCAGGCTAAAAATACTCAGCCCCATAAGCTATCTTGTCTTGGATGTGTTTTCCATATCTTTTCCCAATTTGTTTACCTTTTTCTAAACACATGCCAGCTTTTCAGTGTCCTTGAATTGTTATATTCAGAACTGGACACAGTATTCCAGATGAAGTCTGATCAAAACAAAAAAGAATAGGAATATGACTTCTCTCAGTTTAGAAACTATACTCCTTTGGATACAGCCTAGAGTTGCGTTGGCTTTTTAAAGTTGCTGCATTGTCCTGTTACCTTTTGTTCGGCAACTAAATCATTAGTTTTGGCCTAGCTATCTAATCTGCAAATGTCATTTTGAATTCTGATCATGTCCTCTGGGCTATTACCTGTAGTTCCTCCTAATTTGGAATCATTTGCAAATGTGATAGGCATGTCTTCTATTCCATCATCCAAATCATTCATAACATTTCTTGAATAGCACTGGGCCCCAAGCAGCACCCTGTGGCACTCCATTAGTCACTTCCCTTCAGGATGAAGAGAAGGTGTTGGTGAGCACTTTTTCAGTTCAGCCAGTTAGTGTCACATTGCCAGGGCTCTGTCGTATTCAGGTAGAGATGAACCAAATAAACTCCCAGTTTGTGCTAAACAATTTAATTTAAACAGCACTTACTTTCTGGCTGTTTTAATAGTCCAAAATATAAAACATAAAGATAGCACTAAGCCACAGAATATAAAACAAAAACTGACATCAAACACTGTTGCAAGTTCAAGATAACTCTAGTCAAAAGATCCGGTCCAGTGGTCAAATGCCAAGAGCTCAATGAGCAAGTCCAGGGATCAAGAGTCTATACCATAGCCAAAAGCCAGTCCGGAGATTCAAGGTTCCAGGGTTCTAAGAGTACAGGAGACAGGTCAGGATATCAAAGATCCACAAACCTGGGGGAACCCAGCAGCATCTACTACCAAAATAAAACAAATACTTTCCCCCCAAAGACCAGTCCCAAGGTTAGCTCCTTATATCCAGAAACACCCAGCTGCAACCTATCTCTTGCATACCTCCACCCTTAATTGCCTTCACCCATGAACTCTTACTTACAGATTACTCAACCCTTAGAACTAAGACTTACATTAACCCTTCCATCACCAACTGCTAGGCCTGCCACTGCCAACCACCATCAACTGCAGAACATGATGCATGACAGGTAGCCAATTCTGAATCTACCTAACTGTAGCATTGTCTAGCCCACATTTCATTAGTTTGCTATCTCATCTGTCAGAAATAATAATACACTTTATTTATATTCTGCTTTATCTCTCTGGAGAGACTCAGAGTGGATTACAGCACACATATAAGACAAACATTCAACGGCTTTTTGCACAACGAACAATGACATATAATACACAAATAAGGTAAAGGACTTCCTCTTTTTCTATCTCTAATGCCAGGAGGCAATGCTCAGCCAGTCATGGGGAGGTGCCACATGTCTGCACATCTGCATGGGGCGCCATCTTACCTTCCCGCCGAGACAGTACCTATTGATCTACTCTCATTGCATGCTTTCAAACTGCTAGGTTGACAGACACTAGGACTGACAGTCAGGAGCTCACTTCGATTTACAACTCTGAACAGCTAACCCTCCAGTTTTCCTGCAACTACCATGGCCCCTAGTTTATAGAGTTAGAAACCTAGTTTATAACTCTAATTAATAGACTGTGGCAAATTGTAATCCAGTATCATCTGAATGAGCACAGGTCCTCCGTATCTGCTGTAAGGTAAGTCAGTATAAATATCTCCAGCCTGTAGATGGGAATGGAGAAGTACTGACTTGTCTAGACAACTGATGAATTTATGCAAAAGTGAGACTTGAACCAGAGACTGGATTCCCATCTGACCCCCATAGCTAGCCCTTATGCCACGCTAGTGGAGGATACCACTGTGTCAAGAGATTGCACATAAGTGTCCTGATTTATCTGATGCATTCCAATATTTAAGCCAACACCTTTCATACTACACCCTAACGAGAAAGATCCCAATGTTATATATCATAATCCTGTTATATAACTGAGTACGAAGGGTAAACAGAATTAGTTTTAACTGTGGTAAACAAGCCTACCATCCTGTCACTTTTTTTCTCTTTCCGCATGAAAGCTTTTCTTGGGGAAGTTTCCTGTTGGCTGGATAAGTCAATAAAAAATGGGGCATAATTAGTCCCTGAGGGTGTGACTGGAACTAACTCATAAGAGTTGGCACAGTTGTAGTTAAAGAAGCCAGTGCCGCATAAAGGAGTGACTTAAGAATCACAGATCTTCATTCAGAAATGAAGTCTTAATGGGCATCCTTTGGAACAGACATCATTTAGGGTCATTGTGTGAGTCATAAAGGAATACCTAGAAGAAGGACCTCATCTCCCTGTATGAGACTGTTTGCATCTTTTTTTTTTTTGCCTCTACAGTTGTTGTTTTTTCTTTTGAAAGTGTTCTCAGCTACATAAAATAATGTTCTGGTAAAACAAAAGCAGGAAAATAAAAAAAAGTTGGGGAAATGACGTCATTAGTTGTATGTTTCTATAAAAGCTGAATAAATGTCCAAATGCAGCCATCCCCCTGTGGGGCCTTGATTCACTAGCATGGTTGGCTATCATTTCAGAAACATAGCTTCCTTGGAGGCTTTTAAACAGAGGCTGGATGGCCATCTGTCAGGGTATTTTGATTGTGCTTTTCCTGCTTAGCAAGGGGTTGGACTAAATGGCCCATGTGGTCTCTTCCACTCTTCCAACTCTATTATTTTATCATTATTCTATGATGCAATAGCTCTGTCTTCTCAAAATTAAGCACCAGAAACTTTGTTGTAGGATCCTAATATCACTTCCCCCTTCTTCCTGGTTGCATGGGCCCATAACAGTTCAGCATAACAATTTTATGAGGCAGTTTTTCAAAAGGTCGACACCACAACTGGGAAGTGTTTTCTAACAGGTATTGGATGAAACCCAGTTCTGGGTTTCTTACTTAGGTGATCCCTTGTTGTCTGAGTAAGATTGTCCTCCAAGTTCGGTGTCCTGGCGGTGGGTACGTAGGTGACTGTGGAGCCCTATTCTTGACCTGCATGTTCTCCTGCAGTGAGGGCATCAGTTTCCAGGTGGAAGGTAGTCTCAGTCGGGGTTGACTTGATGCGCCTTCCTCTTGGAACGTTTCTCTCTTTCACCCTCTTCAAATCTACAGCACTGCTGGTCACAGCTGACCTCCAGCTGGAGTACTTAAGGGCCAGGGCTTCCCAGTTCTCCATGTCCATACCACAGTTTTAAAGGTTGGCTTTAAGCCCATCTTTAAATCTCTTTTCCTGTCCTCCAACATTCCATTTTCCGTTCTAGAGTTCAGAAAATGGAATGTTAGAGGACAGGAAAAGAGATCACCACCTCCCAAAGCAGTTGATTGGGTATTCAGACAATGTGGCCGGTCCAGCGGAGTTGATGGCGGAGGACCATCGCTTCAGTGCTGGTGGTCTTTGCTTCTTCCAGCATGCTGACATTTGTCCACCTGTCTTCTCAATAGATTTTCAGGATTTTTCAGAGGCAACGCTGATGGAATCGTTCTAGGAGTTGCATGTGACGTCTGTAGATAGTCCACGTTTTGCAGACATATAGCAGGGTTGGGAGTACAATAGCTTTATAAACAAGCACTTTGGTATCCCTACGGAAGTCTCAGTCCTCAAACTCTCTGTGCTTCATTTGGAAGAATGCTGCACTTGCAGAGCTCAGGAAGTGTTGTATTTCAGTGTCAGTGTTGACTTTTGTGGAGAAGTAGTTGCCAAGGTAGCAGAAATGGTGAATATTTTCTAATGTTACACCATTAAGCTGTATTTCTGGCACTGGAGAGGGATTGGCTGGTGACTGCGGGAAGAGCACCTTGGTTTTCTCAATGTTCAATGACAGGCCGGGCTTCTCGCATGCTTCTGCGAAGGTGTTTAGAGTGGCTTGTAGGTCTTCTTCCGATGGTGCACAGATTATGTTGTCATCAGCATATTGGAGTTCTATAACAGATGTTGTTGTAACCTTAGTTTTGGCTTTCAGTCAGCTGAGGTTAAATATCTTGCCATCTGTCCGATAGATGGTTTCCACTCCGGTGGGAAGCTTCCCATCAACAAGGTGAAGTATCATAGTGATGAAGATGGAAAATAAGGTTGGGGCAATAACACATCCCTGTTTGAAACCTGATTCTACCTACTTTGGGAGCTTTGGGAGTATAAATGGGAACAAGGTTAAAGTTTCACAGAACACCCTTTTTTTCCACAGGACTCTGCAAAAACCAAATATTTCCTCCCTGACAAAGGCAATGTCCTTCAACTTGCGAACAGTTCTGCTTTGTGACCCAAGTATAGCCAGTCGGCAGTGGAAAGAAGAGGAACTCTTTCAACTTTCTTACAGTACAATGCTCAGGTGAGTGGCATTCCTCTTAAAAGGAGGGGATGACAGTGCCACTGAGAACTACAGATTGCAGATATGGTCTTTCTAAGAATCTCTAATTCCTCTATGTTCAACCCCTAACTCCCACAGAAATTGAGGACTAGTGTCATGCAGTTTAAGGAAAGCTAGAGAAAACACCAGGAAGGCACAGTTGCAGATCACATATTGAAAGGGGACTATCTGGAGTAGAAGGAAGGGGGTGATTTCATCTGACTGCAAGTGGTAATGACAAACTTTGAATACATCTGTGATCTTTAGGTTCTAAGCATTTAAAAAGTGCTTTTCCTGCTTTGCAGAGCTGGATACCTGACACTCTATGGCAATGAAATGAAGGATTATGAAGACATCTCTAGTCAGACAAAAGACCAGGCTCACTCATTGGAAGTATATAATGAGTTTTATAAGCTAGACCGTCTCTTGATGAAAGCTGCTCGTTCCAGCTTGAATGCAGGTTGGTCACGAATTGTCATATTCAAAGTGTCAAACTGGAGGATTCTTGATTTAATTGTCTCCTAAGCTTTGCAATAACAGCTAACATAATTGCTTATTTGTCATGTTCGTGTTTTTCTACCTAAATGGATGTAATTCAACAATGGAACTGTAGCTCTCCAGATGTTTTTGCACTGTAACTCATGTAATTTCTCACCACTGTCCATTTAAGGTTGATAGGAATGGTACTTGCAGTGAAACTGTGTGTTAGTCTGTTGGAGCCAAACAACAAAAAGTCATGTGGCACCATAACAACTAAGAGATATGTCATGTTATACAATCTAAAGTCCATTCCAGCACAAGTAGATAATGCCAGAATATATTTTTTCATCTTTAAGAAGAACAGGTTGAAGGAGGCTGAACTAAACCCTCTTGGAATGTAATGAAGGAAAGAGGAAACCTACGAGCAGTAGATGGCACCATTGTGTAACCTTTCAGTGCCATCTACTGGTTCAAAAACATAATTCTGATTGTCCATTAGAATATTTGTAATAAAAGAGAATAAACTGTATGAAGCATTTAATGTCTCCTTGTTCAAACTGCATATAATTCTCTCTCATATCCAATAATTAAAATAGAGAACTATATTTTGTGGGAGAAAACATCTTGCTAACTGTTGCTTATAAACCTTTTCAGTCTTAAGAATGTAAGCTAACTGTATCTTGTGCCCAAGACAGAAAAATAGGAATTATATGTCCAGTTTGGGAGTCAATGCAACTCCGAGGACCTCCAAACTTCCCAAATTGCCTTTGTATCCCCCCACGATTTTCTTCTGCCAAAACAGTGTGTTTGGAGAGAGTAAGAAATGTTTGTTTCCTCTTGAAAATACTTCCAGGTGCTTTTAAATGCTCTTTGGAAGGCATTTGAAACAGCAAGGAAGCCCACCTGTAGACCCCAAAGGCAACTAGGAACAATGCAATAACTCTTTTGATTGCTCAAAATACTGACTACAGTATTATGGTGTTTTGAAGGACGTTGAAATAGTAAAAAGCAAACAGACAAACACATTGGGAAAGTAGATAGGTAATTGTATTTCTAATAAACAAGCACTAAACATTTTAAATAGGTTTATTAAATAACACTATGTAACACAATTTGAAAAAAAATCTGTTCCTGATTTGAAAGGGCTATTTCCTGTTTAATTATGAACAACGTACTTTGAAAGTAATTGTTATTGGTTGAAACTGGATGAGATATTCATTGAAAAAGTATAGCAAAATGTGCTTCAGGATGTCCCACAAAAATAAAAATGTTGCAGTTTAATAAATCTTTTCAATGTTTTTGTGCTAGATTCAGTTATGAAGTTATATTAATAACCCAGGAACAAGAGTATTGATTACCAGTAAGAGTCCATATATAAAACTGGGAAACCCATACCAGTGCTAAGGTTATGGTTTTGGACCTACTGTATATGTCTAGAAATCTTAATTAAAAAACCTGACACCCCCCAAACCCCTGGAATAACTTTGATATAAATAAGGTATCTTAACTCTTATCAAAAAAGGAACTATCCCCTTTTCTGAACAGAGTGGTGAAATGTGAGAGCTAAGAGTACTTCCAGACAGGCCTTATATCCCAGTATCTAATCCCAGGTTTTCTGCTTTAAACTGGATTATATGAGGCCCCACTGCCACATAATCTGGGATAAACGGAAACCTGGGATCAGATCCTGGGATATAGGGCCTGCCTGGAAGGGCCCTTAGTCCATCCTGGCAGAACCTAAAAGAAGCAACAACCCCCTCTACTTTCTTTACTGTGGCACCTTTTCAAATGTTTGGGTGGGAAAACCTTGCAGTAGCAACTCATTGGGGTTTCCCATGAAAGTAGGTGGTACTGGTGTTTATTTTAGGTCCTCCCAGGACAGACTAAGTTGCCACCTTTTTCCATTCTCCCAAGAGAAGGAGATGATTTCTTTTCAATAAGGGTTAATGCTGTACTTTTATCAAAATGGAAAGCTTTTCCTTCTCTGAGTAGAGTGATGTATGACCTTTTTGAATGGTTGGGGAAATGGTGGCAGCCAAGGGTGGCTGTTCCCGGAGATTATTGCACTTTCTGCTTTCTATGAAATGACCCTATACTTATTTATGCGTCATATCAAAATCCATAATTTTGTCCTTGGCTTATTATATTTACTTGAGAAAATGGGTTAGGCTCTATATGTGCTGTTTTGTCCTTCTCAAAGGAAGAGCAGAATAATGTTGTGGTTATAAAAAATACAGCATGTTTTTTTTTTGCTATCTACATGTAGGGGAGAAGAAAAAATTTGATAGTATCAAGAAGGATCTTTGGAATTTGCTATCTGTGAAACGGCTGGATGGCAGAGCAAACCGAAGTGTTTGGCTGGACAGCTATAAGCAGCATTTGGTCGACCTGGGAGTGGATGAAGACATGCAAACTCGGGCAATGCTGCTCCAGCTTTGGAGCACTCAGGTAGAAAATGCCATCTCAGTTTCTCAGGGAATACTTCTCATTCACAACCTGACTCTCAACTGTCATACATGAGACACAATGAATGCTCTACTTTCCCTCTGTGTAGTTCATGAGGAGCTAAAGTAGGGACAGAAATACTTTTAGCCAAAATATCTATGTGAGGCAGCTTTAGTGAGAGTCAAAGTAGGGTTTAAGTGTTGCACTACATTCCATGGGGACTGGGGTTCAAATTGTCACTTGGCTATCAAAGCCATTGGGTGATCATGGAAAAGTTACACTCTCATCTTCAGAGGAAAATAGTGACAAATTCCATTGAATAAATCTTACCAAGACATCCCAATGATAGGTTCACTGTAGGAATGTAATATGTCAGAAAAGATTGGAAGGCACAGAATAACAGAAAAAAGCAATAATATATGTCGACAGTAAATAATATGCCTTAGACACAATATTCCCTTGCAGTATAATGCTATTATTGTGATTAGGATAAAAATGGGGATGAATGTATGGGTAAAATAATGTATAATATTTTTAACACCAAGAAATAAAATCAATGTGATTAGTTAAGAAAAACATTGTTGGGAAAAAAGTCACAAAGAAGTGCATTCAAATACACTTTTAGAATGTCTTCGGCTACAATCCTGTACACATTTATCAATGAGCAATTCTCACTATACTCATTGGGACTTACTTCTGAGTGTGCGTGTATTGTTGTTGTTACATGCCTTCAAGTTGGTTCCAATTTATGGCAATCTATAGCTGAACCTCTCACAGCTTGGCAATATTTATTCAGAGGATATTTGACTTTTGTCTTTCTCTAAGGCCAAAAGAGTGTGACTTACCCACTGAATTCACTAGGGGAGATAGGTCGGGCTACAAATAAATAATAATAATAATAATTGTTATTATTATTATTATTATTATTATTATTATTATTATTATTATTATTATGGATTTCCTTGGCCTCAAGAGTGGTCTCAAGAGTTCAGTGTCATTCATTGTCACCCTATGCAGAGAAGCCAGAGGTCCTCTGAAAGACAGCCTACGTGGTTTCAGATTCAATGACTTGAATGACATTAAAACAGCTTTAAAATCATGGGTCATGAAGCAAAACCTTAATATTTCCAAAATGGTTTTGATGCCTGGGTTAAACAATGGTGCAAATGTGTACAAATTGATGGTGACAATGTTGAATGGTAGTTTTTGTAGAGGATAGTTCAGGCTATGATATGTAGCAATTTCTGCTGTTATATGTTCATTTATATTTTTATGACTCAGGAGGCAATTGTTTTGACCCACCCTCGTATAATATTTACGCAAATCTCAAAAATAAAAATCAGAACTGAAGGGAGGAGATTTTTTGTTCAAATTGCAAGTGTCTCTGTGTCCCTGTGTAATATTGATTCTATTTTAGGAAAATTATAGATAATTGATGAATTTAAATTAGATTGGAATCTGAAATATGTGCATTTCTGTGAGAGAGACTGAAAGAGAGAACTCGATTATGAAAATTCTGGCAGTCTTTTGAGTCTTGAATCTCAGTTCAGTTAACAATGATGCAATTTCCCAACATGGGTCCATCTAGGAGCTTTTTTGTCAGAGGTTTTGTTAACAGGGGCATCCATGTACTGCTCATCTTCTCACCAGATATTTCCATTCCTTGCATCCTTGTATCACCCAGCAATTTTTCCTAGTAGATAGTTTACAGGAGTTTTCATGAAAGCAGACTCCAATGAAGTGGAGGAGACTTTACTTTTTTTGAATAAACCCATTTGCTCGCCACATGAATAATGGAAAACCCATGTGCACTTTGTCCCTCCCCCCTTTAAATGCCTGCACTTTAATTAAAAGAGCAGCCACCTCCTTGAAAACTTGAGCAGAATCAACTTGCACTTCCCCCTTCTAAAAACAACATGAATTATTTATGGCTTGCACTCCTCTCTATTGGATTTAATGTACTGCAGGAGCACTTGCTAGGAGTGGGGATGCTATATTGCATTTCACTTAATCATCACAATTTTGAAAAAGAAAAACAGAGGAAAAAAGCAGATAGTGCTGGGCCATCAAATATAATTTCCTTTCCCCTTGATTGGTCATGGAATATATTTCCTGGATTCTAAATAGCTCTGTTGGCATAGGAGGAAGTAGAGTGGAGAACAGAAATGGGGTCTCATAATAGAGATATCCTACTCTTGAAAGTATGAGCTCTCAATTTACCAGGGGCATTTATTTACTGGTTGCATGAGTACAGAGGCAAAGTACTCCCTCAAAGAATATCTTCTTGTAGGGAGTTCTATACCCAGTATGCCAACTGTTCAAATGACTGATTAACTGGTTGGTGGTGGGGCATCCCTGTCTGGGCACTTACAGCAGAAGTCTTCACTCTTGTCTATGCCATGAGTGAGCAAAACTTTCCAGATGGGACAACAAGCCATGGTTTCCCAAAATGCATTATTAATCTGGCTTTAATGGAGATTTAGGAGACACTGACTAGTGGAGTGCCATAAAGAGGGTTTGGTCTTGGGCCCAGTACTATTCAACATCTTTATTAATAACATGGAGGAAGGTTTAGAGGGTGTTGCGGTGACACTAGCCCAATTGTAATGGTTGTACACCAATGGTACAGGGCTGCCACCAATTATAGTCTGCACGCACCAGTTGTACAATTGTGCTAATTGCGAAGGTGCTGCAATTACAACAACAGACAGGGTATAGGGCTTTTAACCTTAAAGAGCCCACCCACTGTCACTAATTGTATAGACTGTTCTTAAGTTCTGCCACCGAGTATACAGGTGTGGATGATTATAGATGTAATTCAGGTAACTGCCACCAACGTGAAGTATTGCCGATGAGAACTGGCTCCCCAGACAAATGGAGATGACACGGTCTTCAAACAAAAGTTAATAAGTTTATTTTGTACAAAGCGTATGGTTGCAGGCTGGTAGTTAACTTGGAATAACTTAGAGAACTTTGAATGTAACTTGGTTTGCAATACAGTTCACACTTCTGGAAGATATAACTTGTAACTGACTTTCACTGTGGTGAAGCACTTTCTTTAACAATGTTTCCTGAGGTGAATAGCCTTCTTATTTGATCCTTTCCTGATCAAATCCTAGATCCCTAGTTCTTTCCTAACTAGTGATCTAAACAAGCTTCCCTTAGCCCTCTCCGACTAATGAAACTAATTAGTTTTCCCCCTTCAGCCTTCCTAGACTGAAGAAACCTCTGGCTGCTCACACCCACTGCTTCTCCTCTCTCCACTCTCAACTGCTCACTCCCTCTCCAAACCCCCAACTGAACTGCTTCATTTCAAAACGCAGATAACACTTTCTTGCTAGGCTCCGCCCACTTCTCTCTGAGCTAGCCTGCCTGGTTTCCTTAGCAACGCCCGGTGGATACAACTAGTTGGCTCTAGCTTCAGCTACTGTTACCAAAACAAATATATTCTAACTGTTAAACATTTATACAGTATCAATAACTTCTGTGCAGTGTGCTTATCAAGTTTGCAGATAACACCAAATTAAGAGGGGCAGCTAATACTCCAGAGGACAGGATCAGAATTCAAATGATCTGAACAGCTGGGCCAAAACTAACAAAATGAATTTCTACAAGGACCAATGTAAGATACTACGCTTAGGCAGGAAAAATGAAATGCAATGATACAGAATGTGTGATGCCTGGCTCAAAAATAGTCCATGTGAGAAAGATCTTGGAGTCTTTGTGGACAACAAGTTGAACATGAGCCAACAGTGTGATGCAGCAGCTAAAATAAGCTTATGGGATGTTGGGTTTTATTAAAAGGAGTATAGTGTCTAGATTGAGGGAAGCCACGGTGCCTTTGTATTCTGTTTTGGTTAGACCTCACCTGGAATACTGTGTCCAATTCTGGGCACCACTGTTCAAAAGAGATATTGACAAGCTGGAAAGTATCCAGAGGAGGGTGACTAAAATGATTATAGGTCTGGAGACCATACCCTATGAGGAGAGTCTTAAAGAACTGGGTATGTTTAGCCTTCAGAAGAGAAGGTTGAGAGGAGACATGATAACCATGTACAAATATGTAAAAAAAACCCGCTGTCCTAAGGAAGAGCAAACTTGTTTTCTGCTGCCCTTGAAATTAGGACGAGGAGCAATGGGTTCAAATTATAGGAAAGGAGATTCTATCTGTACATTAGGAAGAACTATTCAATATGCTATTCAACAGTGGAACTCTCTGCCTTGGAGAGTGGTGGAAGCTCCGTCCTTAGAAACTTTTAAACTGAGGCAGGATGGCCATCAAGTGTAGACACTGTCAAGTGTAAACAATGTTGGATTAGATTAAAACTCTGATCTGGTTTAAGGCAGACTATTTTTTTCCCTTTAGCTTGCAAGGGATATTGTGGTCTTTGCATAAAATTTGTCCATGAAGTCCCCACATGATGGAGCAAAAGTACCATGTTCAGATTTTGTATCTTCCAGTAATTCCCAACCTTTGTTTTTGCTAAGAAATCTCCATCTTCAGCTCTCTTTCCCAGATTCCAAGTCTCCTTTACATGTATGTATTCTCAGCCTCTGCTGATTCTTATTTTACCGTCTTTCTGTTTTGGTTGTTCAAAAGTAGTCCTTGAGGGCTCATAATGCAAGTCAAACTGGAGGAACTAAGCAGCAGTGATTCAAAACCAAAGGCTGATTTAGGATTGGTGAAGCAATGCCAAAATTCAGTCAGGTAGAAGATATGCGGTTTGGTGGAGATTTCACAGGCAAACAAGTGATTCCAATCTGCTCCACAGCAGAACTGAAAGTCAAGCAAGACATGACATTATTCATGTCTTCAGTCTTCATGGCCATTAATTTTTCATAAAGCTAGGGAAGGCATCAAACTCTGCACAACTGCATCCCAAATGTGGCCCGTTTTGTTGTGCGTTAGGGCCAGAAAGAGTTTTCATCTATTACCTGGCCAATGTTGGGGACTTCCATCTGGATTACAATCTTGCATAATGGCCATTTATGTGGAAACACTAGTATGTTGCAGTGGTAAATATGTTAACATTATCCTCTGTGTTTTGACCTCACACCAAAAGCAACTTGCAGTTTCTCAAGTTGCTCCTGACACGACAAAAACAAAAACTTGAGGTGCTGAAAGCTGCCTTGTATTCCAACACTCTTTAGAGAAAATGGATGAACTTCCAGATTTTCAGCCTACAATTCTCACATTCTTAAACCACAAATGGGGGTTGTAGTCTAATCCGCCTGGAGGGTCAAAGGTTCACTACAACTGTCTCTTTTTTTAAAAAAAAAAAAATCTTTATTGTTGTTTCAGTGTACATTGATTAAAATTTTTGGTACATAAAAAAGAGAAATAAAATAAAATAGAGGAATGAAAAGTTTAGTTTCAGTGAGAGGGGAAAGAAAGGGAAAAAAGGGGAAAAATTGGGATATGGGTGTAAAGAATATATAAAGTGGAGAGAGAAAATAGACAGACAGACAGACAGACAGACAGACAGAAAGAAAGAAAGAAAGAAAGAAAGAAAGAAAGAAAGAAAAGAGAGAGAGAAAAAATGAAAGAAAAAAGGGGAAAAAGAAAAGAAAAGAAGGACCAACAAACAAACTAACGTTTAACTTTTGGTCTTCGGTGTGGTTTATTTTTCTTCTTCTTTCTTCTTCGTGTAATCGCTTCCCCTCCTTTCCCTTCTATGTCTTATCCTAACTATGTATAAACATATCTTCCTTTTCCTTCTTAACATCTATCTTAAAAGGGCTTCACTTTTTTTTAATACCATAGTCGCAAAGTAGAATCTGACCATGGAACCAAGCATTTGAAGAGTATTACAGTGCAATAGGCAGCTATGAGGTAACTGTAATATGATTGGAATGACTCCTGGATTGCGATTTCAGGTCTTTGTGCTATGTTTTAACAGTTTATTTAATGCATTAATTAATTAATTAATTAATTAATTAATTAAAAACATTTATATTTGCCCTTCTCACCCCGAAGGGGACTCGGGGTGGAGCACAACATACATACGGCAAACATTCAGTTCTAGAACATGAATTCATTATAGGCATACATAAACATTAAAAACATTTGTGTCAATATTAAATTACACTGTTTAAAGCCATCTTAATATGTTATGGTTTTAATGATTTTTTAATATATAAGGCATATTGTATTTTGTATGTTCATGTTTATTGTGCCATTGAATTATTGCCAGTTTGGAAGCTGCTCTGAGTCCCCTTTAGATAGAGTACGGTAAAAATACAGTAAATAAACAAATGTTTGGGCACTTCCAGGCAGGGTCCAAAATGCAGGTTCCGACTTTTACCAGAGGCATCCAAATGACCACTCCCCCCTCCCAAATCCCTTAAAATAAAACAAAACTTACCTTCCCGGCAGGCTTCCTGGAATGTAGAAATGATGCTCCAGGAGGTCAGGAGAGGGGGTAATCAATGGGGACATCTAACTGGGAAACTCTGGGTTTTGGAGGAGGTGTGGGGATAGAAATGCAGGCCAAAGTAGGTTTTTAAATTCACTTTGGCATGTGTTTCTGTCAAGCCTGGAAGTGCCCTTTGTATATTTTGCTTAATATCCTAAGACTTTTCCATGTAGGTTCGGTGCTATGAGCAGGATTCTCACTTTATGTCGCTTCTTCAGCATATGCTGAAAATGCATGGATGCCAATGCTAAAATTGGGCTAGAATGGGATGGATGGTATATGTGCCCTATAAGTACTGATGTCTCTTACATGCCACATCTGAATCTTAGTGAAGGAAATCAATGTGATTTGTTTCAAGGCTGAGGATTTCTTTCCTTTCCAGGTTTTCTTTCAAATGTATGTCTAAATGCATTGAGTTGACCAGATCCCTTCTATTATTGCCTTTTTAATGACATTATTACCAGATTCTTGATGTTTCTGAACCAGTTGATTAATTCTGGGAATACTGCCATTAATAATGCAGAAGTGCCTGAAAGATATTTCACAGCTTTTCAAGGCAATCCTTCAAGAGCTGTTCTGTTGTTGATTTACTGAACTACCAGCAGAGACCTTTCACATTGTGAATGAAATGGGTGTTATTTTCTAATGAAAATGAGAGTTACATTGACTATTTTTCCTTTGATACATTGGCTTTTCTCCTTGTACCTATGGCATTTAAAAAATAACTGGTTCTGGATTTGTTATAAATAATGTTTTTGTTTTACTTTTAGAGTAATGCGGGACCTGCAGTTTTCTGGCTTCTCTTGTTTCTTTTGAAACACCCTCCAGCTATGGCAGCAGTCCGAGGTGAAATGGAAAAAACATTATCCAGAAAACAAACAACTGAACAAGTGCTTGAGATCAGTCAAGAGAAACTGGACAACACGCCCATTTTTGGTCAGTAAACTTTTATTCAGTGTCATTCTCAGGTACTTCTCAGGTACTTGGATACATCCACTGAAATAATTGCATCCTGGAATCAGTCTTCCTCCATACCACTTACCCTTTTTGCATTCAGCTCTGATTCATCCATGGTTAAGGATAGCTGCATTTCCCATACCCTCCCCCGATTACAGTTGCATGATATTATTATGGTGGCAATACCTATCTTCACATACCGGCCTGTTGCCTTATCTTTGAGATTTCTGTGTAGTTACTTGGATAAAGGCAGTTGCATGTGTATGGATGGACATGCTTATGACATTGCTTGGAAAAAAAGTAATTATAGTTCTCAAAAAATCCCTAAGAAAACATAACCATTGACATTATTAGGATTGTAGTCCAAACAAATAGTTCCCCCCCCAAGCCCTGGAGGGTTTATTTAGCAAACCACATGAGAAAATTCTTTTGAGCAATTCATTCCTACTCATAGGCCATTATTTTTGCAACTACTGAAGATACCATTACAGTCAGCTCAAGATATTTTACTGCCCAAGTCAGAGCAGCAAACAGTGCTCCTCAGCTATAAAGTCCAGATGTATATTATTGTAGGCTATTTATTTATTTCCATTTGGCATCTTATTTTTAGCATCTGAAGCAGACATTCATGCAAATGCTTCTCCTACTTTCTGGTAGTAAAAATACATTACAAATCAAATAATTTATAATTAACTGTCATTAGTGGCATCCAAAATGAGCTGCTTGAGACACCTGCCTCATTCTGTCTAATCTTCCTGGCCTTATGAAGGAACACCTATACAGGTAGCCACAAGGAAAGTCCTTTCATGTAGGAAATAGTGTATAGTGAAATAGTGTATAGCAGAATATTCCTGTATTTGATTGGATGTCTAGTAGCCTAAATACCCTAACAGCACTAAATCATGTCCGACCCTGGAAGGTATGTAGGGTTGGCTCTAGTTATTTTTTATTATTTATTTATCTTGGACATTTGTATCCCGTCCTATCTCGACCTCTGCAGAGGGACTCAGGGCTGCTAACAATCGGCACACCATGGTGCCCACAACCAAAAGCATAAATATACAATTTAAATAAAAAAACAACATAAAAACAGTATAAAAACATTCAAACAGTCAAACAGTCGCCTATTTAGGTCATAGTCCTAAAAGCAGTCCATAGTAAGAACTTGGACAGGAGACCACCAATGAATTCCAGATGTTGTAGGCTACATTTCAGAGAAAGGAACTGGAAAAAATAGCCTTTGAGTATTCCATGCCTGGAAGAACCCTGTGAAATTCAAATGGTCACCACAAGCCAACAGAAAACTTGAAGTTGTGCACACACTGAGGGAGATAAAAAGTGTCCTGTATTGGTCAAATTGGGAATTGAAAGAGTAGCTGAAAAATATTAGGTTTTAAAGAACCTTGGACAGCTCCTAAGGATGGTTGGATGAAAGCTGTAGTGCTTAGGGCTCTGTAAAATGTGTGTGTGCGCCTTCACGACACTTGTCAACTTATGGTGACGCCATGAATGTCACAAGCCTTTTTTAGTCAAGGAATATTTTTAAGTGGTTTTATCAGCTACTTTTTTGGAACCTATAGCACCAAGTATTCATTGACAATATCCCATCCAAATACTAAGCAGGGCTGATGCTGCTTAGCTTCCAAGTCCTTCACGCGTTGTGTGTCTCTCAGTATCTTCCCCTGATGCTGAGAGAATGTGACTTCTTCTAAATTTGACCTTCTATTACAGTTAGAAAATGTGGGAGGCTGTGTAGCAAATACACAGGCCCCCACATATAATCTAGGAGCTGGTTCAAAAACCTTTTGTATCCATGTATGGTTTTCTTTGTAGGATTACTCCTCTGACATTTATTGAGACTATAGTTTAGCTGCATATTAGACATTTATGGAGAGCCCTCTTTCATTCCAGGCTAGTTGGTAGTATCAACATCCTGAGAATTTGGGCAGAATCCTGATTTGGGAATTTAAACACCCACAATGGATACAGAAACTGATACAGTAGGATCTTCATGTTCAGAGGGATTGGGGCTCAAGACCAATCCAAATGTGGAGGAAAACAAACATTTTTTAAAAAAACTGCTCATTTTAACTTGAAAAAACACTTCCCACAAATCCCTAGGACCTCTAAGAGGACTCTATGGTTAATATATTCTGGAAATTGACTAGGAAAGTGCCCTGGAGGACTAGAGGTTGGCGGGGACGAGGAGCAGGGCCTTCTCAGTGGTGGCCCTCCGCCTGTGGAACTCACTCCCCGGGGAGATTAGATTGGCGACTTCCCTTCTGACGTTTAGGAAAAAACTGAAGACCTGGGTGTGGGACCAAGCCTTTGGTCATTCTGACAACTAATTTAAGGATCTGACGATAGACAAGGACAAATGGAATGGAATGGATATATGGACTCTGAACCCTGAGCATGAGATTGTTTTATTATTTTATTATGTACTGATGTTTTAATTTAACTGCTGAATTGTTTTGTATTTTGTACTGCTTGTCAATGGATTTGGGCATCTAATTGTGCCTCCTCTGTAAGCCGCCCTGAGTCCCCCCGTGCCCCCCCCCCCGGGGTGAGAAGGGCGGGGTATAAGTAAGTGAAATAAATAAATAAATAAATAGAGATTCTTAGACAACTTATTGATTAAATATATGGATAATCAAATCTGCCAAAGTTAAATAGACAATTGTGGTAGGCTGACTGTATACCTATCAGCAGAGTGGTGTGTGGGATCATGCAAAGCTTGGTGTTGGAGTGTGGCAGAGTCAGATATCAACTCTCTCTTCTTGGAATGGCCCATGGAATACTTTTTATTATTAAGCCTCTGCAAGACTGCATAAATGAACTGTTGCTATTTGTACAGACTTCCTGTGTCCAGGAATCAATATCCAAAAGGCAATGAGTTTCTTGGCTCCTACTGTCTCTAATTTGTTTGCCTAGGCTGCACCGTAATGCACTGCAAATCTAAATTGCTGTGGAGTTTCTTCTGCAATATTTATGCGAATATGTGATTATTGTTAATGTGGGCTGGTAATGGGAAAGGGAAGTGTTTGTGGATTAGACTGGCCAACACCCGAATCTAGCAAGAGCTTACATAATCATTAAAGAAACTAAATGCTCTCTTGCACTTTTCTTAAAGGAGAAGAAGAAGGTTTCTTTTGCTTTTTAGGCATACTCTAGGGTAAAAATGTTTAGATCCAGTCCACATGAACTTGTATAGTGTGATGTCATGGCACCATGTGCCCAGTCAGATTTGACTGATTCATGACATGACAAAAGCAATCAGAATCAGCTACATTTCCTCCTCTCACTTTGAGTAGAAAGTTGGGAACATTTTTGCCATATTTTTCCATCAAAATTCACTCTCTCTTTCATTTTTGATGTTGTTATCATCCACTAAGTTGACTTTGACATTTAGGGGTCCTATGGATAAGAGACTCCAAGAGCCCCAGTTGTCAACAATCTTGTACAGGACTAGCAAACACAGGGCTGTGGCTTCTTAGAGTTAATCTAATTACACACTTAGCCCTTCACATATGGGGGCTTAACTTTTGTGGATTTGATCATGTGTTGATTTGAAGACTTAGGAATTCCTGAAAAGATGTTCTCTAAGGTAACAAAAAAAATCACAATTTTTCAACTTCCACTGAGGGTCTGTAGCTATAACCCCGCTTTTTTCGATCTGTGGGTTGGGGCCCCTGGGCCGGTCACAAGGGGGTGTCACAGGGATTACCAAAGACCATCAGAAAGCACAGCATTTTCTGTTGGTCATGGGGGTTCTGTGTGGGAAGGTTGGCCCAATTCTATCATTAGTGGGGTTTTGAATGCTCTTTTGATTGTAGGTGAACTATAAATACCAGCAACTAAAACTCTGAAATGGCAAGGTCTATTTTCCCCAAACTCCACCAGTGTTCACATTTGGGCATATTGAGTATTCGTGCCAAGTTTGGTCTAGATCTATCATTATTTGAGTCCACTGTGCTCTCTGGATGTAGGTGAACTACAATTCCAAAACTCAAGTTCAATGCCCATCAGACCCTTCTAGTGTTTTCTCTTGGCCATGGGAGTTCTGTGTGCCAAGATTGGTTCAATTCCATTGTTGGTGGAGTTCAGAATGCTTTTTCATTGTGGGTTAACTATAAATCTCAGAAACTACAACTCCCAAATGATAAAATCAATCCTTCTCCCAACCTCATAAATATTCAAATTTAGGCATATTGGGTATTTGTGCCAAATTTGGTCCAATGAATGAAAATACATCTTGCATATCAGATATTTACATTATGATTCATCATTGTAGTAAAATTACAGTTATGAATTTGCAACAAATATGATTTTATGGTTGTGGGTCACCACAACATGAGGAATTGTAGTAAGGGGTCACGGCATTAGGAAGGTTGAGAACCACTGCTCTAACCAGAGATAGTGGAAAGCCTTCTGCCTTCCACCTTGAAAACAGTACCATCATTTCCAATGAGTTACATCATCTTACAATATCTCTCAAAATACAACAGCCTCAGCTGAGTCATCTTGGGTTCTAAGGAAGGTTCAGGTCTGATTTGATCTAGAACCCATTTATTTGTCTTTTTCATTTCCATGGTATCCACAGAACTTTCCTCCTATATCACATTTCAAGTGCTTTGATTTTCTTCCTATCATCTTTCTCCACTGTCCAGCTTTCAAACTTATACATAAAAATTGGAAATACTGAAGAATTGATTATTCTGATTTTGGTATTCAATAATATATCTTGAGGATCTCATTTGGTTCCTTTGTAGCTACCCTTCTAAGCCCCATTCCAGGAAATAATAAAACAAGTGGGAAAAATGGTCACAAATGTGGTATCAGTGTCTGGCTCATTATATATAGCATCATTGACTTAGATCACAGCAACCTTTCATTGGAGATTTTATTTGGAACAACTAATAAGTTACCACTTCTGTTCCAAATAATAGAAATCCTACACTTGTACGACAGCTTCTTTTCCATTAACCAGATCTCCTTAAATAAAATACTCATTAACTGAACTGTGTTCAGAGCCATTCTTAACATTGGGTTGATTTGTCTATGCAGTGACACATTTTCACACTATTCTTCTGTTAAAGATCAACATATGCCATGCTAAAGACCTTTTGCAGATGCTAGAGGAGATGCCCAATACACTTGTTAAAACCAAGAGAACATGGGTGAAGGCCAAGACTGTTTGTCCTAAGCATGACTGCTTGGAACGAAAAGGCTCTGTTGACAGATTTTCACATCACATGATGAATGTGGGCTTGTACTGTTCTGCTTAAATCTTCAGCTGAGAAGTACATGATTGAATTTACCCAATATCACCTGATGGAAGAAAAACCATGATCCATAGAAAAGTAGCTTCTTGGAGAAATGGGTCCTAGCTTAGCTTTCTTTTTGTTGTGTAATTTTCTAGGTGCAAAGATTACAAGAAACAAAAGTAAATAATTCACCTTCTGCAACTGTACATTGTAATGGCACAATTCAAGAACAATTTGACCTTCTGATGAGGTTTTTCTCTAAAGAGTTTTTGACATGTTCACATAAGGAAACTGGGTGGCATTAGAAACGTTTCCCAAGCTAGGTAAGGGATAACAAACGCTCTGAAGCACTTGCTGTTTGGAAACTGGGCTTTGCCAAAAATGATCACCTCACACACATTTTCTCTCAGCATTTTGAATCCCATCTATTTTCTGTTAAGTTCTCTATACACTACCATGGACATTAACTGCTTGTTTTTGTTAAAAGGCCATGTGTTGTCTGGGCCCTACACGTTAGAGATTCATTATTTCCCTCTTTTCTCTGCCATACTGAAAGAAGTGAAAATGAAAAAGAAGTTATAAATGCCCTGCAGTCTGTCTGTCAGTCTATCTGTCTGTCTGTCTGTCTGCTCTGTTTGTTTTGAGTGACATCATAACTCAAAATCTATTGGATGAATTGCTGCCAAATTTGGCCACAAGACATCTACTAACCCAAGGAGTGAACATCACTCAAAAAATGGTTTTGTCATTTGGGAGTTGTAGTTGCTGAGATTTATAATTAACCTGCAATCAGAGAGCATTCTGAACTCCACCAATGATGGAATTGAACCAAACTTGGCACACAGGACTCCCATGATGAACAGAAAACACTAGAAGAGTTTGGTGGGCATTGACCTTGAGTTTTGGAGTTGCAGTTCACCTACATCCAGAGAGCACTGTGGACTCAAATGATGAAAGATCTAGAACAAACTTGACATGAATACCCATATGCCCAAATATGAACACAGATAGAGTTTCAGGGAAAGTAGTCCTTGACATTTGGGAGTTGTAGTTGCTAGGATTTGTAGTTCACCTACAATCAAAGAGCATTCTGAATGCCACCAACAATAGAATTGAGCCAAAATTCCCACACAGAACCTCCATGACCAACAGAAAATAGTGTTTTCTGGTGGTCTTTGGTGACCCTTCTGACACCCTCTCACAACCRCCCCCCCCCCCCGGGGTCCCGACCCCCAGGTTGTGAAATGCTACCTTAAGGCCATCCAGTCCAACTCCTTTCACCAGGGCAAGAAGACATAATCAAAGTCCTCCTGACAAAGAGTCATCCAGACATAGATATAGATAGATATATGATTCACACACATATGTATATGACAGATATAGTATTTGAAAGGCACCCCCATAGGACATGCATGTTCCAGAGTAGGCAAACCAGACAATCTACATCAACACTGACAAAGAAACAACAAGAAATATTGTTTACCCACAAGCACAAGAAAATTACATATATTAGAAACCACCACTTTCTCATTACTTTATTTTCCAGATCACCAGACTGGGCCACAGCAACGCATGGCAGGGGATGGCTAGTATTTGTATAAAAGCAAATAAAGACTATCACAAATAATTTCGAATTCCTCTTTTCGTATAATGTAGAGGTGGAGGAAGCGTCGCACATTACATGTCTTTTGTATTTCCCACAGTTCCGTGTGTTATGCACATATCTTTCCCAAAGCAAACATGCACAGAATTAATCACATGTCTGCATTCTAGCATTGACGCCTGATCTTTCAAACTATTTGAAAACATACACCTTTTTCATGCTGGTGTTACAATTATATACCTCAAACAAATGTTCTGGCACCTTTACTATGGTTTGTATTACTTTTCATTTGTTGCTGGCTCAGGAAAAGGTGGGAGCTCCTTCATTTGCAGGCAGATTTTGAAAGCCATTTCATTGTGTGATTTCGAGACGCCATTGTATTGTTGGAAACCGAGCCATCCTCTCCTTTGTGCTTGGATGCAAAGACAGCCACCCACGCCTTTCCTCCTGTGTTTTTATTGGCTACCATAATTTCCCCCTTTGGTTCTCCTCTTTGTGCAGACAGCGTATTGAATGAAACTCTGCGTTTGACAGCAGCTCCTTTTATCACCAGAGAAGTCCTTCAAGACATGTGTCTGAGACTGCACGATTGCAGAGAATACCACCTGCGAAAAGGAGATAGGCTTTGCCTCTTTCCATACATAAGCCCTCAAATGGACCCTGAAATCTATGAGCAGCCAGAGGTAATGCAGTGCCATTTTGAATTATATCCCATATGCCAGCTTCTTTGAGAGGTTCCTTTTGTGGTATGTTTGCCCTTAACTTGAAATTGTGTTGCAGTGCGGCATCCTTCCTTTGGGCTCAAATCAGTCCTGTAGTGATACATTTTAGACTGTAGGCACTTATCATGACAGTGACCATATCCAAATCCACAGGGAAAATTAGAAAATGCAAACCAATATGTTTGTCTCTATCAACAAACCAGCTCTGGCAGTTTCATTTTCCCCAGGAATAGGTCTTCTCTAAAGCTAATGTGAGATATTTGCCTATTCAAAACCAAACCTATCCATGATACCATCACAGATTATGTGGATTGGCTATGTTAATCTAAAGCAAAACTGGACAACTGTGGGAGCCAGGAACTACATTTGTTCCCAGGAGCTTTTAGTGCAGGCATAGGCAAACTTTCTAACTTGGGGGGCCACATGGTGGGCTGGAGCAGGGTGGATGGGCCAGGAGGGAGGGGGTTCTCCCCAAACCCCTTCCCTGCCCTTTCCTCCCCTTCCCCATCTCTTTTGGGGGCAGAAAGTGAAGGAAAGATGGGAAACGTTTGGACCTTGGTCAGGATGAGATGGTGGATAGGAGATAAAATGTGTATTCATTAGACCCCATGTTGCCTATTACTGATATAGAATCCTAGAATCCTAGAGTTGGAAGAGACCTCCAAAGACCATCCAGTCCAATCCCCTGTCATGCAGAAAGGCACAATCAAAGCACTCCTGAAAGACAGCCTCTGTGGAAAACCCTCCAGAGAAGTAGACTCCACCACACTCCGAGGCAGCCTATGCCAACTCTCCAGGAAGTTCTTCCTAATCTTTTTAGTCAAAGGTCTTGCCATGCCACTTGAAACTATTTTTCCTTTGGGTCCTGGTCTCTAGAGCAGCAGAAAGTCAGTTTCCCCCTCCTCCTCACTGAGACACCATTTGAAATCTTGAAACATGGTTCTCATGTTCCCTCTCTACCTTGTCCTCTCCCAGGTAAACATCCCCCAGGAAAGGAGGAAGGAAGAGAAGGATGGAAGGAAGGGAATTGAGGGAGGGGAGGGGAGGGAAGGGAGGAAAGAGAAGGAAGGAAAGATAGGATGGTGAGAGTGAGGAGGGCCTGAGAAAAGAGCCCAAGGGGCCACATCCTGCTCCTGGGCCTGGGTTTACTCATACCTGCTTTAGTGGGTCATCCCTTACCAAAATACTTCAAATGTCTTCCCATTTTAACTGTAAAATGTTCCCATGGGTGTATGAGGTAAATTTTCAGGATGCTGTTTGGCCTTCTTATGCCATTTTAGACCCGGGAGTGCCTCCTCTTTTTTGAGGAACAGATAATTTCCCTTCCTGGTCCTCACAAGGAAGATGTGAGTGGGGAGGCTGCTTAGGTTAAAAAAAAAAAAGAGGACCTGGATGTCTTGAAGGCATCTTGAAAACTCAATGACTAGCAAAACCATGATGAATTCTGCTCATTGTTTGGAAATGAATCTAATTCAATAGGTGTATGCAAAGATTTTGATTGACAGTGTCACTATTAAAACACAGAAGTGGGGCAGGGAAGCAAAAGGGAAATATCCTGCAGTCCATCACTTGGATCTTCTGACTGCACAATCCCCATGCTGCCATTTTGGGCTCAAGCAGGATCAACAGCATGGCGCAAGGCTTGTGAGTGCCTCCATGTGCTGAAACAACTCAAGATACGTAATGAGAACTGCTGAATTCAGAAACACTTGAACTGGGATTATCACTTCTAGGAATGGCACCTGATGCTCTGTTATTAGAAGTACTTTTCTGAGCAAAAGCCAAATGCATCCGTGCAACAAACAAACAAACAAACAAACATTTAACTTCCCATCTTCTTTGGTGTGGTTTATTTTTTTCTCTTTTTTCTTCGTGTAATCGCTTCCCTCCTTTCCCTTTCCACACTTCTGATTATCTCTGAACTTGATGACTCGATGCTGAGTGTTTTAATACTTCCCACTGAAAAAACATGGCAGCAGTTGATACAATATTCGTCTCTGTAAATGTGGTGTGATGATTCATTCATATAACACTATATAACTTCATGTTTTAGTAATCTATCAGACAATTTGAATACACTGTTACTCGCCAAATTGGATCACCCCCCCCCCCCCCCCCCCCCCGCCAAGAGCAAAAGAAACCAGTTTTCTGGATGTATATTTAAGATCCCTAAAATAGCATTATATAAACAGTACTAAATAAAGACCAGTATTGGTGCACTTTGAGGAGTGAAATTCTTCTTTGGCCGTTGCTGTGACAACAGTCTAAAGCTCTTTTAAAAATATATCAGTGAGGTTTCTCATTTTCAGCGTTCCTAACCTGCCTTCCTTTCCTCTCTCCATTAATTTTCTCTCTGTTAACAAAGATTTGGACTGGGATTCTTCCTTCTGACAAGCAGCTTCCCAGGGACCATTATGGCAGAAATGATGCTGATATTATTACAATACAAGTCTCATTAAATTATTGTTTGCAACATTATATGATGCTCACCAGCATCCCAAAAAGCAATTACATTCCTGGGTTTTATTCTGGAGCCCGAACCAAAAAAATACTCAATAATATCTTAATTGCTATAACATGGAGTGAGGAAGAAACTCAGAGAAAGATGCTACCCCTCTATTCCGCTTTAGTTAGACCACACCTGGAATATTGTGTCCAATTCTGGGCACCACAATTCAAGAGAGACATTGACAAACTGGAATGTGTCCAGAGGAGGGTGACTAAAATGATCAAGGGTCTGGATAACAAGCCCTATGAGGAGCGGCTTAAGGAGCTGGGCATGTTTAGCCTGAAGAAGAGAAAGCTGAGAGGAGATTTGATAGCCATGTATAAAGATGTGAGAGGAAGCCACAGGGAGGAGGGAGCAAGCTTGTTTTCTGCTTCCCTGGAGACTAGGACGCAGAACAATGGCTTCAAACTACAAGAGAGGAGATTCCATCTGAACATGAGGAAGAACTTCCTGAGTGTGAGAGCCGTTCAGCAGTGGAGGCTCCTTTTTTGAAAGCTTTTAAACAGAGGCTGGATGGCCATTTGTTGGGGTGATTTGAATGCAATATTCCTGCTTCTTGGCAGGGGGTTGGACTGGATGGCCCATGAGGTCTCTTCCAACTCTTTGATTCTATGATTCTATGAAGTATTGAAATTGATTTTTTCATTTTGACCATGTTCAGCTTCTATGTCTAGAATTATTGTGAGATGCTAGGAAAGGGAGAGAAGAGAAGGTGCGTTTTTGATGTATTCTGCAGTTCAAACAAGTCACTTTTCTCAGCCTTGCATCACAATGGATGAAGGTTTCCACTCCGAAGTAGAGATAGGAAAATATTTCAGTTTTGTCTTATCCTGAATTTGGATTTTTTTAATACATTTGGTTCTTGCCTTTCAAATAGGCAGAAACTAGCCAAAAATGAACTAACACTAAAATGGGTTGCTGTGAGTTTTCTAGGCTGTATGGTCATGTTCCAGAAGCATTCTCTCCTGATGTTTCACTCACATATGTGGGAGGCATCCTCAGAGATTGTGAAATTTGTTGGAAACTTGGCAAGTGAAGTTTATATATCCGTGGGATGTCCAGGGTGGGAGAAAGAACTCTTGTCTGCTCGAGGCAAGTGTAAATGTTGCAATTGGCCACCTTTATTAGCATTGAATAGCCTTGCATATTCAAAGCTTGGCTGCTTCCTGCCTGGGGAAATTCTCTGTTGGTAGGTGTTAGCTGGCCCTGATTGTTTCCTGTCTGGCATTCTCCTATTTTCTGAGTTTTGTTCTTTATTTACTGTCCTGATTTTAGAGGGTTTTTTTAAAAAAAATACTGGTAGCCAGATTTTGTTCATTTTCATGTTTTTCTCCTTTCTATTGAAATTGTCCACATGCTTGTGGATTTCAGTGGCTTCTCAGTGTAGTCTGACATGGTGATTGTTACAGTGGCAATAAACAATACAGAGAAAGGATTCCCCAAAGTACGAGGGCAAGGGCAAAAATATAATACAATAATATAAACCATAAGAATGTTTTTTATATATATATGCAATGGTCATAGAACATTCAATATACAAACAAGGTTTGTCGAAGTTCAAAGTATACTTAACAACTATTCAAAAAACAAGTCTCTTAACCAAAATCTTCCTTATATGGGAAAGACAGATGATTCCTAAAGCAGAATCCAAAGGAATATAAAAAAATGTATTACAAACAAACATACTCATAGATGACATCTCTCTAATAATCAAAGTTTGTGAGTCCAATATCATACAAGGTTCATGTTCCACATGGAGGACTATGTAAATCACAGATTGTAAATCCAATTCTGTGAATCAAAGTTTGTAAGTTCTTTTTAAACCCAAAGTTTATAAGCAATTGGTTTTGACTATGTAGAGTCTTCCTCAGGTGGTAATTTGTGAAAGTACAGAAATCATAGAATAGCCAATCCTCCAATATAGAAAGTTCTTAGATTGGAATCAATATCTAAGTATCAATGATGAAGTGGATGTAAGTTCTCCTACAAAGGTGCTCTGCTACTAGTTTGATTCCATGGCAAGCTCTATGAATGTTCTATGACCATAGCATATATATGAAATACATTATTTTGATTGTTAGAGTGGTTCAGCATTTCTGTATTCTCAGATAATATGCTGTGTCCATGTTGGTTCATCAAGTGCTCTGTTATGGTTGACTTCTCTGGTTGAATTAGTCTGCAGTTGTTTCATGTTCCTTGATTCATGTTTGGGCAGTGCAAAACTTCAGGAGAGAATGATTCATACAGCCCGGAAAACTCACAGCAACCCAGTTATTCCAGCCATGAAAGCCTTCGATAACACTAAAATGCTATTTGGATTGGAAAATTCTCTAGAGGTGCATCTATAACAATATGAAAGGAATCTCATTGCAGATTTTTCCTTATGTGAGTATACTAATCTCCTCCCACTGAGGCCCCTTGTACACTAACTACCATATATGACACAGCTTAACTTCATTGAACTCCATTATATGGCAGTGTAGATTCATATAAACCTGTTCAATACAGTGAAAATGCATTCTGAACCTGCATTATATGGGTGTAGATGGGGCCTGAGACAAACCTTGCTGATTTCAGTAGGTCTACTTAAGCTGATCTTGGAGTCCTGATGAACAACAAGTTAAACATGAACCAACAATGTCATGGGACAGTTAAAAAAAGTCAATGTGATTTTGGCCTGAATAAATAGGAGTATAGTGTCTAGATCAGGGCAAAGGTTATAGGATTGGCCCCAGATATAGTCACAGTGAGGGCAGACCAGGCATGGGCAAAGTTGGGCCTTCCAGGTGTTTTGGACTTCAACCATTCCTAACAGCCTCAGGCCCCTTCCTTTTCCCCCTCAGCCGCTTAAGCGGCTGAGGGAGGAAAGGAAAGGGTCTGAGGCTGTTAGGAATGTTTGTAGTTGAAGTCCAAAACACCTGGAGGGAAAGCCCAAATTTGCCCATGCCTGGTCTGCCCTCTCTGTGAGTATATCTGGGGCCAATCCTATAACCTTTTAAGGGAAACAATTGTCCTTTGAACATTCAAATGGTATCCTGCAGATTTTTAAAATGCTTGCAACTCTCATTTTAAACACTTGTTTGCTCAAGATAAAATGAAAGCTTGTCTCACTCCTGAACTTTTGGTTCCCTTCTGGTCCAGGTATTCAAATATGACAGGTTCCTCAATGCCGATGGAACAGAAAAAACAGACTTCTATAAAGGAGGAGAAAAGCTGAAGTATTATACCATGCCATGGGGAGCAGGAGTCAACGTCTGTATTGGGAAGTTCTTCGCTGTGAATAGTATCAAACAGTGAGTGGATAAATAGCTTCATCTGTAACAGTAATATTAATCAAAAGAAAGCATTCTTGGCTTGAAGCAGAAAATGAATCTCTCAAATGAACAAGGAAAGAAATGGTTTTGATGCAATGCAGTTTTCAGTGTTTTCTGCAAATATGGATCTATTAAAAAAACTGTGCATGAAGTATCTATCTTTTTCCATAGAATTCATTGTATATGGTGGATTATGCCTGCCTATCGATTGAGTCATCCAGTTGACTATAGCTAAGCTGCGTGTAGTTCATGAGCAGTGTCCAAGTATTATTCTAATGTCTGGCTAGACACATATTGTGGTCGGAAAATTAAATGTGCAATCCAAAATATTTTTGTGCGGTTGACAATGTGGGCTTCAGTTATTTCTTCAAACAAACAAATAAGAAAAAAGGAAGAAATATAACAGTAAAATGGAATCTTTCTGTCTTCATAAGTATACATTAACAGTAAATTATTGAGATCAGCTATCTGACTGCTTTATAATCAAGGAGCATATAGGCATGAAGATATACCTAACTGCTTTTGGATCCAATGGTATTTCTGCAAGTATTTCAGCTGTATTCAGCATTATTTTTGGACTATGGCTGCAGGATTTTCTGACACCTGGAAAGTCCTACATGTCATTACCAGATTGTGCAATGACTTTCACCATGACATATGTCTTGTCAACACTGCTTTGGTCAATAATGCCTCATGGAGGCCCCTTCTACACTGCCATATAAAATCCAGGTTGTCTGCTTTGAACTGGATTATATGGCATGTGTAGATTATATAATCCAGTTCAGAGCGGATAATGTGGATTATCTGCTTTGATAATCTGGATTAAATGGCAGTGTAGAAGGGGCCTGAGAATGCTAAGATACTTTCAGTCAATGTCCTGGAGATGCTGTCTGTGTTAATGTTGGTAAAGCACTGTATGGTTGCATAAAACAGCACATGATCAGGGAGAATTCTTCCTTGGTACCAAATTATTGACTGCATGTGCAGAATCAGAGGGAAAGCTTAGACTGAGCCTGACTCTGTCCTTGGCAGAAGTTGTCAAGCTTTTTACTGGCAGAAGCTTGACAAGTTATCCCTGTCCTGCTTTTAGGCTCACAGGAAGACTGTAAAAAAACTGAGCAGAATACCTGCTCCCCCTTCTAGGCTGATTGGTTGCCCTGATTTTTTCACTGTATCTCCTCTAAATCCCCCAGTGGATTCAGGGAGTTGTAGTCTTCAAAGTAACATTTTAAAAATCTGTCCAGAAATTAGGTTAATCAGTAGTAAGTCTGCTAAAGGGGACTTGGGTGAAATGACTTTTACAAAAAGCCTCCCCACATCACTCTGTTAGTTTTGTTGTCCTTATTTCTTACTTTCTTATGGCTAAAGTTGCCCTCTTCCACACCAGTTCTCAAGCAGCTAGAAGGGAGCAAATCCATCTCATTTCCTTTCATTTTGTATTCCTTTTCACAGAGTATACTAAGTGCTCTGATAAACTAAGATCCCATTTGCTCACCAGCATCTATAGCAAAGAAAAGTGACTTACTCAGTTTTTTTCTGTCATCACTTTCTCTTTCCCACTTCTTTTCCAAGCAGAAGTGATGGAAACCAGAAATGGTAGGAGCAACCTAGAGGGCTTTCAAGTGGAAAAAAGTTATTTCACAATGTTTTTGTGGGTATCTTTTAGGAAGGGAGAAGGAACACCTCAAGAAGAGGCCACATTTTGTGTTTTGCTCCAGGTTTAATGTGGAACAAAGCTCTAAATATACTTTATCATCTGTCATATTCATTCCCCATAGGACTTCTGAACCCAAATAGGTTCAAAGGCCTTCTAGATATGGTGGGAAAACATGGAACTTGTATCCACATTGTATTTGGCTCCTTTATAAAGTCGAGCAGACCACAAATATGATGTTGCAGCAACTTCCATTTGAGGGATCTCCAGTGCTCCATAGTCCAAGCCTTGCAGGCTGTAATGTTCATCACATTTTGCTGGTAGACTTATTATTTGTGGCTATTGGACTGTTCTCAGCTTCGTAGGTGAAAAGTAGTGCTGGCATGCCCTGCAAAGCAAAACTTGAAATGTGCATTTAGGGATAAACTGTTGCTAAATTGCCCCTTGCCTACAGACATCTCTATCACAGCGCATCCATTATTCATGATGCTTGCTTTTCTTTGGAATTACTGGGAACAGCTTGCATTATGATTCCCAGACAGTTTTCAGAGTCTTACCTGCTTCACTGTAGCAGTATGCATGCAATGTGCCTCTTCAGAAATATTTCAAGGGCTTTATGGCCATTACAATTTTAAAAGAACTGAACAAAGCCATGAAGGTTGGCCACAGTAGCCTGGGAATGGCAAGCAAATAGTAAATATCAGATGCTGAAGGATACTAAACTAAAGAAAACGAAAACTGCCATTGCCCTCTCCTGTGTGTTCTTCCAAAGCAATGATTCTCAAACTGTTCTCCTCCAAATGTTTTGGATTTCAGCTCCCACAATTCCTAACAGCTGGTAAACTGGCTGGGATTTGTGGGAGCTGAAGTTCAAAATACCTGGAGGAGCACAGTTTGTAAAACACTGTTCCAGAGGAATCTTGAGAACTATTTTGTAAACATAGTTGCAGTCCACTTAGGAGCAGGCCTATCTAGAGTTAGTAGAACTGCAGAATTCAAACCCAAATGTGGAGGGCCAACTCTGTAATATTTGTTGTATTGATATTATATAAAAACTATCCAGAGCTATTTGTAACTGTTTTATATGAAATATTATTAATATTAATGCATCTTAGGCCCTACTGACCTGATTATTTTATCATTTCAGGTGCATTTTTCTCTTCTTAAGATACTTTGATTTGGAACTGAAAGATCCTAAGACAAAGATCCCAGACTTTGACAAGGAACGATATGGCTTTGGGATGTTGCAGCCAGAAATTGATGTCATAGTTCGATATAAACTGAAAGATCAGTAGTGCAGCTTATTTCTTCTCCTAACCAAGTTCTTCTGGAACCTTCTTGATCAGCAAGAAAACGGCTTTTCACTGGTTCTCCGTGATAATCCCAAAGGAAGACCTAAGTAATAACTATGAAGAGGCCATTTAAGTTGTTCACTGTGTCACATGTAAGCTGTTCATATACAAAAGCCTCAGCATTTGGGTTTGGCTATTTTTACCACACTGCTTCAGCTGAACTTTTGTGGACATGTATGGCAATATAAGTGGATAATTGGAAACAACTCACCCCATGATAGCCTTGAAAATGACCTTCATGTAACCAACACAAGCATGAAGTAAACTAGTAAACATATCAGGATGACTAGTAGTTATTTGTTGCCTTACTATTTTTCTGCCCAGGATTCGTCTTCTAGTACCAAGAAGTACCATAGAGGTCAATTTTTGATTATTCGCAAGGGGGATGGTAAATTTAACTTGCAAGCGTTATATAAAAGGTGGTTTGTTCTGCAATTGTTTTGCAAGATTGTCAGCAACTATTTTTGTATCTCTTTTCTGGTTCTTTACCTCCTCACCTTCAGTTTTATCACTAAGGTTATAATCTTTTAAACACTTAGGTTGCAATTTTATACCCACTTATGACTGAAGTCAGTAGATTTGTTCTGAAGTTGCATATTGATTTTCTCCAATAGCTTTCCACACTTTTAAAGCCCCGTCTGTCCTTGCTTCTATTTCTTTCTTTTCCTTTCTTTCTTTCTTTCTTTCTTTCTTTCTTTCTTTCTTTCTTTCTTTCTCTTTCTCTCTTTCTCCCTGTCCCCCCCCCCCACCAATACACTCATAGATATAAAATTGAAGTTGACCAAAGAGGGGAAGCAAGATTTTGCTTGCCACTTCTCTTCTAGTATCACTTTGTTCAGTCAAAGATCTGTGGTTTTGCTATGTGCCTTCAAATTGACTCCAACTTATGATGATCATCTAATATGGATTTCATGGCAAGATTATTAAGGGCTCTTCCACACAGCCCTATATCCCAGAATATCAAGGCAGAAAGTCCCACATCTGAATGTGTGCTCAGATAACCCAGTTCAAAGCAGATATTGTGAGATTTTCTACCTTGATATTCTGGGATATGGGGCTGTGTGAAAGGGCCCTAGGACAAAGTCTGGCCCTCTCTTCTTCAGTTGAGAAAGAGTGACTTTCCCAAGATCAATCAATGGCTTCCCTGGCTGAACCCTGGAGTTCTAGTCCAATACTCAAACTACCATACTACATTGGATCTAAGTGGTGACTACCTGTGAGTAATGTAGGGATAGAAACAATATCTGCTGAGAAAGGGTATTCTCCAGTTAGATGTGCTGACAGTTGTAAGTAAGTGCTATTTTGAATTTTAGTGAGTGTGTGAAGTCAGGGATGGTAGATACAGTTCCATACTGTTAATATCCATTACAACAGTATGTCATATAAAGATAGAAACCACATGTCAGTTTTGGTTTCCCTAGTCTCCTCCTCCTCCTCACCCTCCTCCTCCTCCTCATCATCTTCTTCCTCCCTCCGCTTCCTCTTCCTCAACTGCCCCCTCCTTCTTTGTTTTTGCAAGTAATTCTCCAAATGTAATGCACTTCAAATGTTATTTTTCCTGATATGCACTTTTGTGTTCATTTTTTAAAAATTAAAGAACCCAAAATTCAGAAGAGGCACAAGTCTGAAGGTCAGCTGAGCTTTGTTTCACAAATGGCAAACATGTGGGACCATTTAGGAGGAGGGCCAGATTGTTTGCCCACAGCCACAAATGAGATGACCTTAGAATCGTGGCCATGCTCTCTAGCACCATTGGAGTCCTTCAACCAAGCACACATTGAACAGGATCCCAATTGTGTGCATCCCTATGAGGGTGAGAGATTTTTGACAGGGAAGGAGTGCCCCCCCCCCTCCAAAATGTTTTGGATCAAGTCTAGAGAAGACATTAGGTTAACAGATGTTCCTGGTTCAAAGGTGCATGAAAATATAAACCATGGCTTTTGTTTGCTTTCACAAGATTAATCACATTTTAAAATGGACAGGGCCCTGATTTCCATTGAGCTGTAATTGACAGACTTGTGGGCATGGGGGAGTAGCCTATTTTTTTAAAGTCTACAATTCCTATTAGGAGCCCCCAGTGGTGCAGTCACTGGGGGCTCCTTTACCTTTACAGTTCCCATCTGCCTTAAATGACATAGCCAAAGGTGCAATATTATCGGACATGAAGTCCAAAATCATGTGGGGGGTTACAGATGCCTACGTGTGGGCAAGGCAGACAAGCATAGCAACCCAGGGTGAAATCCAATCCTCTTACTGCAGAAGGACTCTAGAACTACAAAAAGCTTTTAATTCTTTTATGCAGCTCATGGCATATTAGAAGCAAGGGAACAGAAGGCCAGTCTTTGATTATTTTGCCAGTTAATAGTTAAATTGAGCATGAAGTGATCAGCACACCTGAGTAGAACATTTGGCATAATTGAGCTCTTTTCCTTTGAGATGTCATAATGAGTTATTTTCCTTTGAGATGCAATTTTATTAAAACCTATAGCTTCTCACAAAACTGTCATGCATCCATTCATGAATACACATTGGCCTTAGTGTGCTTGAGATGGAAGAGCCAAGCTTTATGGTCAGTTACATATAGTATAGTTCTTTTTTTTTTAAGGAAGTGTTACCCAAAAAACCCACCCCTCACCCTGTAGAATTAATGAAGTTTGACCTCACTTTAATTGCCATGGTTCAATGCTATGAAAGACCTTATAAAACCACAACTCCCATGGTTCTATAGCATTGAACCATGACAATTAAAGTGGGGTCAAACTGCATTAATTCTACGGGGTAGATGCCTCTTTTGATTGCATTAAAAGAAGTGTATATTCTCAGTAGCAAAGTTTTGTGTGTCCCAAAGTTCAAAGAAAGCTAAAAATAAGGTCTGGTGTGTTAGAACTGGAGTAGAGTGCCAAGGAAGGTCTATTCAGACCCTTTGTTGCTTGCTTTTAGGCAGGCCATTTCAGTGAGTTCTTGCTTAAGTTGCATTTATGCTGCTATTGCCTTTTGGGGGGTCCTCTTTAGAGTGTTTTCAAGCAGTATTTTTGCGGTTTTATTGACATTTTTGTTCTTTTTTTATGATGATGTATTTTTTTGACTGTGTCACCTGAATATTTTATAGAAAGCTCAAAAATAAAACTGAAAAATAAGCAATAAAGAATTTTATACTGGATCCAAGAGTTAAAACTCTGATAATGTCAAGTTTCATTCTTTTCATAGAGCAAATTTCTAGCCCTTATGGCCAAAACGCAATAATTGTGAGAAAGCATATGACCATTGCCTGGTGAGACCCCCTTAAGTGGAGAAGAAGCCTCCATACATTTCTATAGTTCAGGAACCAGGGAAGTTTGGTGCTCTCCCCTGCTGGAAATACCAACCTTCCAAGCCTTCACTAACTGTTTGTAAATGTGTATAGTTGTTTACCCATATTGTATGTACATTTTGGTTTGCCAGTTTGACTGTACTCTTTGGTGTAGAAGGGGCTTCAGACACAGGGCGCTATTTTGTATTCAGTTTGTATCAGACCTCAGTGGAGGAGGATGTATGTTGCTATTTGGAGTTTAGTAGAGAAGTATGACTTACAGACTTCAGTGAGTACAGCTATATTTAAAGACTATGGACAATTGATTAAGTATTATACCCTGTGTACTCAACACAAAGAAGAAATTACATCTTATCTAACTGAACTCTAATAAGAAATGTTGAATATACACAAGAAGTTTGTTAGTAAACCTGTGATGTTATTTTCAAAGAAGACTACTTTGTTTTATCTCTTGAGTGCATGTTTTAAACAAGAGGTTTTCAAGGGAGAGTAGATGGACAACTTCAAAGAAACAACCATCCTTTGCTAACCCAATATATTTTTTGTAGTTGCATGTCTTTATCCTTGGAGTTTAAAGACATGGTTCTTCAGTTTAACAGCTGAATGACCTGTGTGCTATTACATTAATGCTTGTGAATATCACTTGGGGGATAGTATGATAGCTGGGTCCGGAAGCTCCGAGCATTATGGAGATGTTGTAAAGGCAACTGTGAATAAGGGAAGAGAGAGGCGGAGGGAAAGCGGGGAGAGCGAAGGAAGGATAGAAAGGAGGGGATGCTTTGGGTAAGGGTTAGGGCAAGGTTTAGGGTTTTGGTTTGGGTTACGATTAGGGCAAGGGTTAGGGGTTACGGTTAGGGTACGGTTTAGGGTAAGGGTTACGGTAAGGGTTAGGGTTTGGGTTAGCGTAAGGGTTAGGTAAGAGATTAGGCTTAGGCTTATGGTACGGTTCAGGGTTAGGGTAAGGATTAGGATTTCACCATTACTCTTCCATTCCTTCTATATTATCTGTCTCCGGCCTGGCTTACATTAGCTAAGTTTCTCTTGCACAAACAGCACTCCCGAAGGAGTGATGCGGCATCTCTGTAATGCTCGGAGCTTCCGGACCCAGCTATCATACTATTACCATCACTTGTTCAAAGAGTTGACTTCTAACAAGGTCATGCTTTTCTTTGTCTAGTGTTTTTCAAAAGGTGGTTTCCGCATGTTCATGGAGATTCACATTTTCCAAACGGATGTGACATCATTTTTACCTTTTCAGTAAGGTCATGGTGCACTTATTTCCAATCGGTTATGGAATTTCCAATATTCCCTATAGCTATCAAAAGCAAAGCAAAATAAGGAAACCTAAAACTGGGGTCCCTTCTACACTGTCATATAAAATCCAGATTATTTGCTCTGAACTGTATTATGTGGCAGTGTAGAAGGGGCCTGAGAGTTTCTTAGTATCTTTAATGTTCTTCAGGTTGTAGACTCCACCCTTTCTTGTGGCTGTGAATTTTGTTTGTACCGATACCCCTGAAGCTTTTAGAGTGGTAAATTCTTTATATTTAAATGCAGCCCCATATACCAGGTTTCTGGATGTTGGCTCTTCAGCTTAGTAAAAGAGCTTGGATTATACAGATGAGTTCACTTAGAATTTATTTGTCCTCACCACAACCCTCAGCCCAATTCATGTTTTATAACTATTCTGGGAGCAGACACATTAGCAAATGGCCTTTCGAGCCCCTATAATTGTCTCCTTGAATCTGCAAGAAAAGCTGGGGCTTTTGCTTTTGTAATGGCCATGGCAGTGAACCTTTAAATTAGAACTGCAAATGACAATTTAACAGATCGGTAAATTTCCCGGTTATGTAAGTGGAACATTCAAATGATTTGGAAAGGAGGAGGCTCATGGTGAACGTTAAATTTCAGAAAAGTCTGTGGCTAGGTGCTGCTAACTGGGGGTGAGCCACTTGAAGCATCCTGCTTCCCAGTCAAATTGTTCTTTGTCTTTCAAGTAGACTCGTAGCCCTTCCACATACCAGAATGACAGTGCTATGATTCCACTTTAATTGTCATGGTTGCATCCTATGGTATCCTGGGGTTTGTACTTTGGTGAGAAACTGGAACAATCTGGCTGATAATTGTACACTACAAATCTCAGGGTTAAGCATGATGCATGGCACATTGACAAATAGACTAAGAGGTAGAAGATGTTTTCCACAGCTGGACTCAAATTCTATGTCTTTCTCAACATTGGCTGGGTTTGCAGGGAATTGAGTCCAACAAAATTGGCTATTTTTCTGATCAAAAGGCTGCAGGTTTGAATCTGGGGAGCAGCGTGAGCTCCCGCTGATAGCCCCACCTTCTGCCAACCTAGCAGTTCAAAAACATACAATGTGAGTAGATCAATAGGTACTGCTCTGGTGGGAAGGTAAGGGCACTCCATGCAGTCATGCCGGCCACATGACCTTGGAGGTGTCTATGGACAACACTGGTTCTTCCGCTTAGAAATGGAGATGAGCACCAACCTCCAGGGTCGGACATGACTGGGCTTAATGTCAGGGGAAAGCCTTTACCTTTACCTTCAAGCTGACTGCAACTTACAATGACCTCCAAGTCATCTTACCAACATGATCCTTATTCAGGTCTTGCAGACTAAGGGGCCTCCTTAACTGAGTTCACCTCAGGGGCTTTTCACTCTACTATTTATTTATTTATTTATTTATTTACCACATGTTTACCCTACCCTTCTCACCCCATAGGGGACTCACATATACAAGCAATAATTTGATACCAAAAACATACGTCCAATAGAATAAACATACATATTAAAAGCAACCACTTAAACATATCAACATTACAACGATTAACGTAAAATCCCGCAATCCAATATCACAGTTAGAGGTCGTTCCAGTTGTCATTGCAGTATTCCGAGTTTACATGTTGCATACTAATGTTGTATCTCGAACTGAAATGCTTATATATATCACCCTGGATCCATTTTTTCATGATGAAATGCAATTTACAACAATTTAGGAAAATATATACAGTATAGAATGCCAGCTCTCTTAATGGATCATGAGTCACCCCGGGAGCCACAGTGGTGCAATGGGTTAAACACTTGTGCCAGCTGAACTGCTGACCTGAAGGTCAGCAATTTGAATCCATGAGATGGGATGAGCTCCCATCTGTCAGCTACAGCTTCCCATGTGGGGACATGAGAAAAGCTTCCCATTGGATGGTAACACATCAGGGTATCCCCTGGGCAACGTCTCTCCAGATGGCCAATTCTCTCACACCAGAAGCGACTTGCAATTTTTCAGGTTGCTTCTGACATGATAAAAAGTCACCCTGTCTTTTTAATGTGTCTGGTTCTCTGTTTGGTGTCCACTTATGGTCAGATAGGGAGACAGACCCCTGACAATGTGAGCCATGCTTTTTTGAAAACTATTCTACAGACATACCCAGGGCCAGGCTAAGAAGTGGCCTCCCAGAGAAAAAGCAATTTTCATGTACCCTTCCAAGTACACAGCTTGAAAAGAAGATTTACAGTGTTTCTGCTGCTTATAGCATTTGTCATCATTATAATGCTTTTTCAGACACTTTTTAAAATGAACCCAAAACCCAGCGGATAGCAAGGGTCTACTGTAATCAAATGGCCCTCTGAGTTCTGGTATTACTAGAGGAAAGAAAACTGGCTTTCTTTTTGTGATTTCCATCGCATTCATTCTCCTCTTACAGGGACAAACACTGAAAAAGTTATCCTTTTGGCTTACTATTCGCAGAATACCTCAGGTGGTATGGGTAATGGTATTATTGAGAGCGGTTATCTAGAAAAACATTTTTATCAGCTCAGATCCCACCAACAGGGATTTAGATAACCCTTTCAATATATTCCAGTTCTATTCTTCTTAACTGCAGGACTTTCAAAGTATGTACCTGAACTCCTGAAGAATTAAAGGGAAAGGGAAAGGTTTCCCCTGATGTTAAGTCTAGTTGTGTCCGATGATGGGGGTTGGTGCTCATATCCATTTCTAAGCTGAAGAGCTGGTATTGTCCATGGACATCTCCAAGGTCATGTGGCCTGCATGACTGCATGGAATGCTGTTACCTTCCCACAGAAATGGTACCTATTGACCTACTCACATTTGCATGTTTTTGAACTGCTAGGTTGGCAGAAGCTGTGGCTAACAGTGGGAGCTCACCCCACTCCACGGATTCAAACCTCTAACCTTTCAGTTAGCAAGTTCAGCAGCTCAGCAGTTTAACCTGCTGTGCCACCAGGAGGACGGAAAATTAAAAACAATTTTGAAATACATGTACAACAGCAGGCCATAACAAAGCCATACAGGTGAGTATTAAATAGATGTGAGGTGCAAGAATAGGACACAGTATAGAACAGGGGTCCTTAAACTTTTTAAACAGAGGGCCAGGTCACAATCCCTCAAACTGTTGGAGGGCCGGATTATAATTTGAAAAAAAAAACATGAATGAATTCCTATGGACATTGCACATATCTTATTTGTAGTGCAAAAAACATTTTAAAACAATACAATAATTAAAATGAAGAACAGTTAAAAAATATAAACTTATTAGTATTTCAGTGTAAAGTGTGGGCCTGCTTTTTGGCTGATGAGATAGGATTGTTGTTGTTGTTGTGTACTTTCAAGCCTTTTCAGACTTAGGTTGACTCTGAGCGAGGGCCGGGTAAATGACCTTGGAGGGCTGTATCCAGCCCCCGGGCCTTAGTTTGAGGACCCCTGGTATAAAAGAATCATCCTGTTCCTCATAGCATGCATGCCCCCCCCCCCCCAACTATCCCAATTTGGTAGGGACCATTATGCTATCCTACTTTTTTAAGCTGCTTT